AAAGAGATTTGCTATTCTGTCTATGAGCAGTGTGACCTTAACAGTTAAGTCTTCGCGCCTACGTTTTACCAATAAGGCTAACAATATTATCCCTATGTGGTAGATTTGAGGATTAACTGATGAAGTGCCAGATATATTTAAAAGATGACAACAATAAATATTAATTCCTTTCCCTTTAAGTATCAAATAATCAGGACCTCTCCCCCTCTGCAATCTCTCTTGGTAAATGGGGGGAAAAAGTCACCCTATCACTATAAGGAGTTCTGGTGGTATAGTGGATTAAGTGTTGACCTCCTAACTATAAGGATTGCAATTCAAACCCATCAGCATTTCCATAGGAGAAAGATGAGCTGGCTGCCCCTCTGAAGCGTTACAGCCTCAGAAACCCGCAGGAGCAGTTCTGCTCTGAGTACGGGCCCGACAAGTGAGAATTCACTTGATGGCAGCGGGCTTGGGTTCTTTTGGTTTGGTTGGTTTTTGGTATAACCTGATATGCGTGGATGCCTCGCTTTCTTCAAAGCAGTTTATTAAACTTTTGTTCTAAACAAAACATTTATTTAAAACTGTTTTTCTGTTTCTTGATTATGCTAACAACAGCATTTCTTTTCGTAGTTGCATTTATATATTCTCTTTTGCTTCTCCAATCTCCAAAAGCAAACTCGCTGCCCCCTAGTCAACACCAGCCCATAGAACTGCCCCTGTGAGTGTCTGAGACTTTAAACGATGACTGCAGTAGAAAGTCCAGTCTTTCCCCCACAGAGCAGCTGGCAATTTCAACCTGCTGGCGTGTGGATTGCAGCCCGATGTATGATCACTGCACTATCAGGCCTCCTTTTGCTTCTGCCCTATGTTATTATGTATTACACAAGAATGCGCCTAGTGTAGAAGCAGAAGTCTTTACCAAAAAATTTTAATGATCACGTTAAGTATATGGTTCAGAAATCTCTATTCCAAATTTAACTATCTCCAGCCCTATCCCAAACCTTTTCTTTTAGCTTTCCCAGTCTCGGCAAATGGTGCCACCATTTATGTAATTCTGCAAGCCAGCAAGTCACCCTTCCCTTTCTTCTTCCCTCTCCTAACACAGCCATTGATGTCTAATCACTCTCTAGGATCCTGCTGATTACATCTCAGTGTTCCTTCCTCCGTTCCGGTGGTCTGACCCTTCGTTGAGGCCTGAAGCTAAACCACTGGTCTCCTAGCTCCAGTCTACCTCTCTCCTGTTACTTCTCTCTGCAGGAGACAAATACTCTTTCTTGTTATTATATTCCCCTGGTTAAAGCCTGAGGAAATAAATGAGGGCCACCCCAGTGAAAACAAACAGATCTATTTATTCAGTGCTTGCTTCATAGCAAGAGAGTCAGCCACATTATTTGCTTTAAGCTAGGACTTGGGGACAAGCAAGGGAGTATGAGAACTCTACATTAAAAAGAGAAGGCTTCTGGTGTGCCTCCTTTGGAGGTGGTGAGGAAGCTGGTTAACTTCCTCAAGGGGGCATCTCATGTGATTGGTTTGAGGAGCATATTTGACTTCTTTTGATTACTCCTGGGTTAAAATCAGGGGCAAAAAATAGGAAATCTGGCAGTCCTTGACCAGTTTCTATAAGGTTACAGTTTGTTTGCTTTCTGGCCTTCACGCATGCTGTTTCTTCTGCCTCCATTGAGTGCATTTCACTGGATCCTACTCAATCTCAGCTCTTCTGATTGATCACTTCCTCCAGAAGCTATCCCAGATTCGCCTCTTCTCATGTCATCTCATGTCTTTGTGCTGCCTGCAGCACTTTGTAGTGTGTTTTCTACATTATTGACAACCCAGACCAGACTGAAAGTTACCTTTGTTTAGGGTGATATGCTATCCATTTGTCATACGTAGCATGCCTCCTGGAAATAATATGTGTGACAAGAGGAAAGGGAAAGGAAGATGGAGAGTAAGAGGAAAGGAAAGTGAAGGAATCTTAAATATATGTGCTAGGCAGTTAAAATATGAAATAACATAAAGTGATCGTGCAAAGTAAATCTAAGAGTCTATGCTTTTATCTTCACTACTTCATTCTTATAAAATGAATGCCTAAGTAGTTGGAAAAGCATACCAAAATATTCTGATGATTCCCAAACCCCAAAACTCACTGTCATTAAAATGATTCCAACTCACTGAGACCCTACAGGAGAGTAGAAACTTAGTGTTGAAGAAAGAAGTCTAAATTTCACTGACGGCGCTGGCAGAAGCAAGGCTTCAAGCATTAATGGAGTGCCAGTTGAGATACTTCAGCACACAGATGCAGTGCTAGAGCTACTCATTTGTCTGTGCCCAGAAATTTGGAAGGGTACCTGACCAGCCAGCACAAAGAGTTCCATATTCATGCCCATTTCAAGAAAGCTAATCCAACAGAATGCAGAAAATAGGAAACAATGTTAATATCACTGACAATAATAATTTTGCTGAAGATAACTCATACATGACTGTAGCAACACATTAGCAAGGGGCTTCCAGAAGCTCAAGCTGGATCCAGAAGCAGGCATGAAGCAAGGACTATCATTCAGATGTGAAGTTGACCTTGGGTGAAAGTAAAGGTTACCAGATATTTGCCTGTGTTTTTAGTATGCAAAGGTTTTCAACTGTGTAGATCATAGCAAATTATGGATGACATTGTGAAGAATGAGAACTCCAGAACACTTAATTGTGCTCAGGAGGACCTTGGACTTGGTCCAAGAGAACAGAATAAGTGAATGTGGCACACTTTAAAATCATGAACGGTGTGTGTCGTGATTGTATCTGTTCACTATCATTATTCAATCTGTATGTTAAGCAAGTAATCAGAGGAGTGAGATCATATGGTCATATCTCCATGGCAACAGGAGAAAGACTCCTCAACATCTGTAATGTGCAATGGCACGACCATGCTTGCTGAATGTGGAGAGAACTTGTAGGCCTTAACTGATCAAGACTCCAGCTTTGGTATGCGTGACACAGCACCAGAAAGAAAGCAAAAGTCCTCACAATTAGACCAATAAACAACAGCAAGATAAATGGAGAAAAATTGAAATTGTTAACTATTTCATTTAATTTGAATCAGTAATCAATGCCCATCATGTCGAGGGCCTTATTCTTTTTGGCTCCTCCTCTATTTTACCAAGCATGACGTTCTTCTCCAGAGACTGGTCTCTACTGACATGTCCAAAGTACCTGAGATGAAGTCTTGCCATGCTGGCCTGTAAGGAGCGCTCTGACCGTAGTCTTCCAGGACAGGTTTATTCATTCTTTTGTCAGCCCATGGTACTGTCAGTGTTCTTTGCCAGCACCATCATTCAAACGCATTGATTCTTCTTTGGTCTGCCTTATTCAATGTCCAACTTTCACAATGTCCAACTTTCACATGAGGCAACTGACAATACCATGGCTTGGGTCAGATGCACCTTTGTCCTCAAAGTAACATCCTTGCTTTTCAGCTCTGTAAAGAGGTTTTGTCCAGCAGATTTACCCAGTGCAATGCATCATTTGGTCTCTTAATTGCTGCTTCCATGAGCATTGATTGTGGATCCAAGCAAGAAGAAATCCTTAGAAACTTAAATCCTTTTTTTTTTTAACCTTGGTTTGATGCTTTATTTTCTTCAATTTTGAAACTTAAATCTTTTCTCCATTTATCATGATGCTACCCATTGGTCCAGTTGTGAGAAAGATTGTTTTCTTTACATTGAGTTGTGATCCATACTGAAGGCTGCAATCCTTGATCTTCATCAACAGGTCCTCCTCACTTTCAGCAAACAAGATTGTGTCATTTGCATATCAAAGGCTGTTAATAAGACTGGCCCCATTCCTGAGTCACATTCTTCTTCATATAATCCAGCTTCTCTGATGATTTGCTCAGCATACAGATTGAATAAATATGGGGAGAGAATACAGCCCTGGAGCATACTTTTCCTAATTTTAAACCATGCAGCATCCCTTCTTCTCTTCAGACAACTGCCTCTTGATCCATATATAGGTTTCACATGAGCCCAATGAAATGTTCTGAAATTCTCATTCTTCTCAAGACTATCCATAGTTTTCTATTGCCCAAGCAGTAGGATACCTTTGCATAGTCAATGAAACACAAATAAACATCATTCTGGTATTCTCCGTTTTCAGCCACGATCCCTCTGACATCAGCCTTGATATCCCTTGTTCCACGTCCTCTTGAACCTGGCCTGAATTTCTAGCAGTTCCCTGGCAATGTACTGCTGCAACTATGGTTGAATGATCTTCAGCAAAATTGTACTTGCATGTAATATTAATGATATCTTTCTACAATTTTTGCATGTTTGGGTCACCATTCTTTGGATTGGGTATAAATATGGATCTCTTCCAATGAGTTGGCCAAGTAGCTGTCTTCCAAAGTTCTAAGCATAGATGAGTGAGTGCTTCCCGTGCTTCATCAGCTTGTGAAACATTTCAATTGGTATGTTCCATCAAGTCCTGGAGTCTTGTTTTGGGCTGATACTTTCGGTGCATCTTGAATTCCTTCCTTCAGTAACATTGGTTCTTGCTCATGTGTTATCTCCTGAAATCAGAGAATGTTGGCTAGTTCTTTCTGGTACAGTGACTCTGTGTATTCTTTCCATCTCCTTTTGATGCTTCCTGCATCACTCATCGTAACTACCAAACCACTGAGAATTAGTGGAGCCAATGGAGCAAAGTGGACACAAAACCTAAACCACCACAGTATGCATGCAAGACATAATTTTTCTCCCAAGGCATGAAAGTGTTATTATTCCTGGTGATTGCTTATGTCTCTCAGGGCTAGTGAAATTGAAAAATATGAATATTTTAATGTAATACTGAGATTTAGAAAAAATTTTACTCCAAAATTTATTTACTATACTATAAAGTCTCATCTATGCTTTATTCGCCCCTGTTTTTTGTTGTAATTTTATGTTGTCAAGGGAAAATATCATAGGAAAACAATGTTTGATGATTTGTTGATATATCTAAACATATAAAACTAAGTATCATATGTTTTTTAGGGTGTTTTAAAGCCTATGGACCTTAATCGTGTCATCAAACTCCTGGAAGAGACTGATGAAGTGAACAAGGTTTGAGAGAAATTTATTCTGTTACTCTCTTATAATAGAATTTTTGCCTTCTTGTAATTCCCTAAATATCTAATTTTTCATTTTGTTTCAAAGATTTAAAATAGTATATATCTTATATTCAAATCTTATATGTTTAAATTTAGTCTGAATATACTCGATCATGTAGGTAAGAGTGGAGAAAGAAAATAGATTGAATTTTTTGGATGGGCAAACCCATGATAGATATAAACAGAATTCCTTTTCCATATTGTAAGAATAAAGAATCATCTATCCCCTATCACTTGTTATTACCTATGAAGATGGAGAAATAGAAAAATGGTATTCTACCTAAAATCGCTTGGTACATATGCATATACATATAAGTATATAACTTATACTCAGAGATATATTTTATAGACTACAATGGAAATAAAATTATTTCAGATACTAGATTTTAGTTGAGGGTGTAGTTATTACTAAAAGTATGATAAACACATATGTACAGTTGTGCGCACACACACCCAACACTCTGTTGATGTTATCCAAGAATCGGATGGGTGACTAGAAGCCAACACATCCTATAAAACTATTGTGTAGTGATTTCCAAAGAAGATTGTGTATTTTTTAATAAGTGAATATAGTTGGTGATAGTCCAGCCTATTAAAACAAAACAATGTCTCTTGACTAGGAGGTAAAATTTTTCATCATTGTTTGAATATTTTTAGTCTGTACCTATTTACATAAAAACATGAAATTAAAATAATGACTATGAGAATAATTTATCTTCACGACTGTAATTGTTGTGAAGAGCTGTTGTTTGGTTGTGAATTTAACTATATAAACATTTAAAGAAAATTCTATTAACTGGAGTTCCCCTGACAACAGCACAACTCCACACTCGCTGCATCAAGTAGAGCCAGACTCTGGATGTCGTCATAAGGACATGCCTGTGGATGTGGCTTGTATTGTGCATGCAGGTTTCTTATCCTTTTTCCTGATGACGAAACGCTCATCTTTGAATCTTGTTCCTGAAATAATTGTATTTCCATTATATTTTATAAAGGACATCAGGGCGACATTCAAAATAAATTGTCTTGACTGTATGTGTAGCTTCTGATTTTATATCCAGAAACTTAAGTAGCCCAGCAAGATATCCTGTCTATAATGGGATACAAAGTGTTCATAGAAAAAGAGGATTGAAAGGTAACAGAATTTCCCCCTCTGTGTGTTTAGCTTTACTTTAGTTCAAGAAAAGGCTAGAAATCTTTTCAAGGATTTTAAAGCTGTACATGCAGGATGTGAAAGTGATTGTGATGATGAATTTGTTGCCAATAGGGGTTGGTTCGCAAGCCATGGTCGGGCAGTGTTTAAAGCACTCAGCTACTAGCCAAAAGGTCAGTGATTCAAATCCACCAGGTACTCCATGGGAGAAAAGGATGGGGCATTCTACTTCTGCCAAGATGTACACCCTTGGAAACATATTGAGCAGTTCCACTCTGTTCTACAGAATCATGAATCAGAACTGAGTTAATGTACTTTGGGTTTTTGAGGAATTGGTTCAAAGTGAGGGCAAATCCACACAGCATTAAAAGGCAAGTAGGAGTTGAATGGGACTACCTCTATATATCCATCGCTTTTCTGTCAGTTTGTCATACTGCGGTGGGTAGTGTGTTGCTGGGATGCTGGAAGCTATGTCTCTAGTATTTTGAAAGATGAGCACATTCACAAGTAAGCAACTTTCAGCTGAGATTCCAGACTAAGCACTGACCGCAAAGAAGGAATAGGCTGTCCAGTTCAGAGGAATCAGTCGCTGGAAACCTTATGGACACCATTGAAATATTGTCAGATACTGAAAAACTCATGAAGAGCAGCAGAGCATTGTCAGAGATAGTGCCAGAAAAGGAGAAGCTCAGGTCAGAAGGTGCTCAAAATATGACTGAGGAACAACTACCTTCACAAAGGTGAAGTGGCCATAGTGACGTTGACTGGAGTAAGGCCTGCGGGAGTGAATCCTTCTGCTCATCCACTTACTGAGAGAGCACAGCTCAAGATGAGTACCTGCTGCTGCAAACACTTATTAATAATTGGAACTTGGAATGTACGAAGTATGAATCTACAAATATTTGAGGTCCTCAGAAATGAAATGGAACACATAACAATCAATACGCTAGCCATTGGTGAGCTGAAATAGACTGGTATTGGCCATTTTTAATCATAAAATCCTATAGTACACTATGCAAGAATGATAGATACAAGAGGAATGATGTGGTATTCGTCAACGAAAAGGACATGTCAAAATCTGTCTTGAAGAACTATGTCATCTGTGATAGCATAATATCTATCTGCACACAAACCATTCAGTCAGTACAACTATTATTCAAATCTATGCACCAACCACTAAAGCTAGACATGAAGAAATTGAAGCATTTTACCACTGTCTTCAGCATGAATTTAATCAAATGTGCAATCAAGGTGCATTGATAATTATTGGCAATAGGTATGCAAAAGTTAGAAACAAAGAGAAAGAAACAGAAATTGTCATAGAAAGGAAGCCAGAGGACACATGATAGAATTTTCCAAAACCAAAGACTTCTTCATTGCAAATACCTTTTTTCAATAACACATACAGCAACTATACACAGGGACTTTTCCATATGGAATAAAAAGGAATCAAATTGAAGACACCTATGGGAAGAGACGATGGAGAAGTGCAATATTAGCAGCTAAAACCAGGTCAGGAGCTGACTGTGGAACAGACCACCAATTGCTCATATGTAAGTTCAGATTGAAGCAGAAGAAATTAAAACAAGTACACAAGAGTCAAAATATGTCCTTGAGTATGTCCTACTGAATTTGGAAAACATCTCAAGAACAAAATTGACACATTGAACACTACGGTCAGAAGACCAGATGAACCGTGGGATGACATCAAGAGCGCCGTACACGAAGAAAGCAAAAAGCCATTTAAAAGACAGGAAAGAAAGAAAATGTCAAAGTGGTTGTCAGAAGAGTCTGTGAAACTTGCTTTTAAAGCAAGTTTCCAAATGGAAGAAACGATGAAGTGAAAGAGCGGAACAGAAAATTTAATCAGACAGCTCAAGAAGACAAAGTCAAATATTATAAAGAAATTGCAAAGACCTAGAGTCAGAAAACCAAATGGAAGAAAACGCTCCGTATATCTTAAGCTTAAAAAACTAAGAAAAATTCAAGCCTCAAGCTGTAATATTGCAAAACCCTGTGGGCAAAATATTGACTGATGCAGAAAGCATCAAAAGAAGATAGAAAGAATACACAGTCACTGCATCTAAAGGAGCTAATTAACATTCAACCATTTCAGGAGATGGCATGTGTGCAAGAACCAACGGGCATGTGCAGAAAGAAATTCAAGCTGCACTGAAAGCACCAGCCAAAAACAGGACTCCAGGACTTGATGGAATATACCAATTGAAATGTTTCACAGCACTGGAAGCACTCACTCATCTATGCTTAGGACTTTGGAAGACAGCTACATGGTCAACTCACTGGAAGAGATCCATATTTATATCCATCCCAAAGAAATGTGACTCCCCCCCAAAAAAGATGCAAAAAGTATAGAAAAAATATCATTAATATCACATGCAAGTACAATTTTGCTGAAGATCATTCAACCATAGTTGCAGCAGTACATTGCCAGGGAGCTGCTAGAAAATTCAGGCTGGATTCAAAAGAGGACATTGGGATAAAGGATATCCTGGCTGATGTCAGATGGATCGTGGCTGAAAGCAGAGACTACCAGAATGATGTTTACTTGTGTTTCATTGACTATGCAAAGGTATTCTACTGTATGGGCAAAAACAAACTACATATAGCCTTGAGAAGAAGGGGAATTCAAGATCATTTCATTGTGGTCATGTAGAACTTGTACATGGATCAAGAGGCAGTTATCTGAAGAACAATGGAATACTTTATGGTTTAAAATCAGGAAAAGTGTGCACCAGAGTTGAAACCTCTCACCATATTTATTCAATCTGTATGCTGAGCAGATCATCAGAGAAGCTGGATTATATGAAGAAGAATGTGATATCATGAATGGAGCCAGTCTTTACATATGCAAATGACACACCAGTCTTATTTACATATGCAAATGACACACCAGGACTTGAAGCACTTGTTGATGAAGATCAAGGATTGCAGCCTTCAGTTGTCTGAAGAGAACAAGGGAATACTGCATGGTTTAAAATTAGGAAAAGTATGCTCCAGGGCTGTATTGTCTCCCCATATTTATTCAATCTGCATGCTGAGCAAATCATCAGAGAAACTGGATTATATGAAGAAGAATGTGACTCAAGAATGGGGCCAGTTTTATTAACAGCCTTTGATATGCAAATGACACAATCTTGTTTGCTGAAAGTGAGGAGGACCTGTTGATGAAGATCAAGGCTTGCAACCTTCAGTATGGATCACAACTCAATGTAAAGAAAACAACCTTTCTCACAACTGGACCAATGGGTAGCATCATCATAAATGGAGAAAAGAGTGAAGCTTCCAAGGATTTCTTCTTGCTTGGATCCACAATCAATGCTCATGGAAGCAGCAATTAAGAGACCAAATGATGCATTGCACTGGGTAAATCTGCTGGACAAAACCTCTTTACAGAGCTGAAAAGCAAGGATGTTACTTTGAGGACAAAAGTGCACCTGATCCAAGCCATGGTATTTTCATTTGGCTTCATATGCATGTGAACGTTGGCCTTTGAATAAGGCAGACCCAAAAAGAATCAATTCATTTGAATGATGGTGCTGGCAAAGAACATTGAAAGTACCATGGACTGCCAAAAGAACGAATTAATCTGTCCAGGAAGACTATGGTCAGAGCGCTCCTTACAGGCCAGCATGGCAAGACTTCATCTCAGGTACTTTGGACATGTTGTCAGTAGAGACCGGTCTCTGGAGAAGCCCATCATGCTTGGCAAAGTGGAGGAGCAGCGAAAAGGAAAAAGGCCTCAGCAAGATGGCCTGACACAGTGACTGCAGGATGGGCTCAACATGAGAACAACGGGGAGGTTCTTGCAGAGCTGGGTGTCCTTTCATGGTTGTTCATAGAGTCACTCTGGGTCGGAGCAAACGAGATGACACCTGTGTATATGTGTACATGAACATGTAGATTCCGTAGAATTTTCATGTAGAAAAACTTAGAAGATCAAAGAGCACAATTGATTTAGTCTTCAAAATACATCGCTGTAACAGGGTCCCCCTTCTCTCCCTAAATTGGATGACGTGTTTAAGTTGAGCAAGTAGACTCAGTTTCGGAAGTTAAAATGACAAATTCTAGACCCAAATGCCAAATATGACTCCTAACACTGCCACTCACTTATTAGTTCTACGGTTCTAGACAAACTGTTTAAAGAATTTTAGTTTGAATTTCCTATTTTGGAAAAGGACTGCAGTAGTAACTCCTGGAGAGTGTTATCAAGGTGCTGTTGCTCAGGTGTTGGAATGCTAACCACCAGGTCAGCAGTTCACACAGGACAACGATGAAGCCGTCTACTCTCCTAAAGATGGACAGCTTCGGAAATTCTATTTGACATTGCTGCAAGTCAGAGTCCACTCGACAGCAATGAGCTCGGTTTCGCTTTTAGTCATGGATGGGGCACTTGGATGGCCCCGGAGGTTCCGCGCTTTGCTGTGAACAGAATGCTTGGTGGCTCAAACGTACTAGAAGAAGCCTACGACAGCCCGCCTCTTCTAAGATTTACAGCCTTGGAAACTGCAGGGAGAGCTCTACTCTGTTCTTTAGGGTTGCTATCAGTTGGAATTGAATCAGTAACAGTGAGATTTTGGTTAATAATGTTATTTTGAGGTTAAATGAAGTTGTAAATATATGGTATTTGCCAAGATAGTACATGCTATAGAATAACTTTTCAATATTTTAGCTCTAATAAGTATTATTTCTGAATGTAGTTACTGCTTTTATATTAACCTTGTTTTGATTCATAGTTTCCTCTTGAAATTTAAATAACTTGTTTTTATCTTAACTTTTCCAAGAAACACTTGAGAATGTTTATAGCATAATATTTTAAGAATTACTTAATACTTTTAATGTTTTTCTTGTTATGTTAAAGAACAATTTTTAAGTCTCGACAAATTTGATAGCACAAAAGACCTAACCTGGGTCATTTGTTTTAGAATGATTTGGAAGATAAACAGCTTAAGTGTGTCAAGAAATTGGTCCAGTGCTACCAGAATGGACTTGTATCCTTTGCATTTGTCTGTGTGTGTTCATTTCAGTCATCCTGGGAGAATTGTTTCTGCAAAATGTATTAGCTTTGTATTGCTTCTGCAGTAAATAAATTATCACAGATTTAGGGGCGAGCGGCAATACACAGTTATTATTTTACACTTCTGGAGGTCAGAAGTCTAAACTCAGACTCGTGAACCTATGAAGTCAGTGGGTTGGCAGGGCTGGCTCCTGGTTCAGGATCTGGAGGAGACTATTTTTCCTGGACTCTTCCACCTTCCCACGGATGTCTGCATTCCTAAGCACACGGTTCCATCTTCACAGTGGCATTACTGACACCTCTGCTTCCATCTTTGCATCTCCTTCTTCTCTCTGGCCCTCGCTTACTTTTTTAAGGACCCTGCCGTTATATTGGACCCACCTAGATAATCCGAGATGACCTAACCTTCCTATTTGACGATCTTGAAATTCATTGGAACTTCAAAAGCCCTCTTTCACAGGTTCCAGAGATTAGGATGTGGCCATACTTGCAGAACAAGGGGGAACATTATTCAGTCTACCACAGAAAACATTTGATATTCTGGAGTACTCATAACATTATATTTTTATTAATTAGATAATATGCAATTGAAAAATAAATTACACAGTTATATTCATATAGATAATGTCAGATTTTATAAATTCAGAGAGGCAGTGGGTTTAGTTAGGAGGCCTAAGTAAAAGTTTGTTTCTACCAAATACCTTTGAGAAGCTTCCTAGTGCCTGCACTTTTATAAAATGCAGATAACAGCACCTCATAAGGTTGTTATGAAGAGTAGATGAGCTAATATACATGCAAATGCTTGGTAATCTATAAAACATTGTATAGATTTAAGGTGGTATCCCTCAGAATCTAGCATCCTTACCAGAATACATAGAAACCAATGCTTCTCAAGCTATCTGTGCTGAATAATGTATCATATATTATTGTTGTTTTTAACCATTGCACACAAATACCATTGTAAAAGTTCAATAAAATATCAAAGAAATATTAGATTGTTATACAAGTTTTTTTAATCATTTTACTGGGACTCATACAACTCTTATCACAATCCATACATACATCAATTGTGTAAAGCACACTTATACATTTGTTTCCCTCATCCTCAAAATTCGCTTTCCGCTTGGATTCCTGGAATCAGCTCCTCATTTTCCTTTTTCCTCTCCCCCTCCCTCCCCGCTCCCCCCTCCCTCATGAACCCTTAATAATTTATAAATTATTATTTTATCTTATCTTACACTACCTGGCATCTCCCCTCACCCACCCTTCTGTTGCCCATCCCCCAGAGAGGAGGTTATATGTACATCCTTGTGATCGATTCCCCTTTTCTACCCCCCACTTCCCTCCCAGTATCACCATTCTCACCGCTGGTCCTGAAGGGTTCATCTGTCCTAGATTCTCTGTGTTTCCAGTTCCCATCAGTACCACTGTGCATCCTCTGGTCTAACCAGGTTTGCATGGTAGAATTGGGATCATGATAGTTGGGGGGAGGAAATGTTTAAGAAGTAGAGGAAGGTTGTGAGTTTCATTATTGCTACACTGAACCCTGAGTGACTCATCTGCTCCCCACTACCCCTCTGCAAGGGATGTCCAGTTGTCTACAGATGGGCATTGGGTCCCCATCACGCGCTACCCTCATTCACGATGATATGATCTCCCCTCCCCCTGCCTTTCGTGCCTGAAACCCTTCAGCCCTTCATGATCACACATGTTGGTGTGCTGCTTCCATGTGGGCTTTGTTGCTTCTGGGCTAGATGGCCGCTTGTTTACTTTCAAGCCTTTAAGTCCCCAGACGCTATAGGTCTCGATAGATAGCCGGGTACCATCAGCCTTCTTCACCACACTTACTTATGCACACATTCGTCTTCAGCGTTTATGTGGGGAAGGTGATCACAACAATGATGGTTTTTGTTCTTTGGTGTATGCTACCTGATCCCGTCAACACCTCGTGTTCACACAGGCTTATGTGCTTTTCTGTGGGCTTTGTTGCTTCCGAGCTAGATGGCCACTTGTTTACCTTCAGACCTTTAAGACCCCAGACACTATATCTTTTGATAGTCGGGCACCATCAGCTTTCTTCACCACATTTGCTTATGCACACGTCTGTCTTCGGTGATCATGTCGGGAAGGTGGGTATCATGAAATGACCGTTTAGCTGAGCAAGGTGCTCTTGACTTTTACGTTATTGTAAAAACACATATCACAGATTTACAAATTCAACTTTTTACAGCTGTACAACTCTTTGACATTAATTACACTAATCAATTGTGCAACTATTATCCTTGAGTAATGAGAATTATCTGTGACTGTAAACCAAAATTCAGAGTTCCAAAATAAAAAATTCAGAGCTCTGAAAAAATTCACTTGCTTCCTCTTCACTCTTTCTCTCCCGCTGCCCCTGGAGCCACCAGCAAACTTTGGTCTCCACAAATGTACTTATTCTTGTCTTTTTATAGGTGAGCTCATACAGTATTTATAATACAGTATAAAATATTTTAAATGTCCACACTTATTTCATAACAGATTGGAAACATACAATTCGAGAACTAGTAATGTGCCATAGACTATTCTTTGAGTGGAATTAATCTGAATGTTCTCTATCAGTTCTCTGACAACAGTCTGTCATATTAGGTTGTTTCAATATTTCAAAATGCCCATTCAAGGAGATATGCCTTGCAGGTTTATCTAAATCTTTTCTTGAATCTAGCCTTTGTGTTATATAGATTTGTTGTGGTATTAATTATTCAAAGGCACGTGGCTATCAAGAATTATTTGCTGGCATCCAAGAAAGTGTATTAGCAAATGATTCCATTTTCTACCTTAATCCTCCCTGACAATACTCTCTTCTTCTTTTCTTTAGTATTAGAAACTCAGTGGCAAATGCTAATTCTGAATGTCTTTAGTAGGCTGATTTTAGGGATAACAAAAAGCAAAGACAAATTAGAGAAGTATCTTATTTATCTCAATAGTTAACAGAGCTTTGTATTTCTGTATATTTCAGTCCTTTCATCTCTTCTTAAGAAGTTCCAAAAAAATAGTTTTCAGTTATAAGACAAAATCCATCTAATTTGCTTATCTACTGAGTTTTTAAAATAGGCAAAATAAAAAAGTTGCTTGTACCCAGCAATCTAGAGAAGCTTTATTTTGCTTTCATACCAGTTTAAAATGGAATAAATTCCCAATTAAGTTCAACCTTAAATGCAAGAAAATACATCTGACTTCAATGTTAATGAAGTAGCACAATAAAAAAGAGCAAGAGTTAGGTGGCTTGCTCCTTGACATTGTATATTTGTATGTGTGTAGGGATATGATGAACACACCTGATAAATTAAGCTATTTATCAATGTTTTGTTACTCACACCAATAATAAGTTATGATAAACTGAATCTATAGTGTCATAACCAAAAAATAACATCAATGTGTTGAGAAAGGAATAAAATTTTGACTAAGAAGATACGGAGACAAAAATTGAATGATATTCCTATAAACATATATGGCTCTTATTTTTCTACCTTATTCTTTAAAATAACTCTTATTAAAAAATGTCAACTGCATTTATACAAATAGGTAGAATTATTTATACTTTCTTAACAAGTTCTGTAGAGGATATGTTGAATTAAAAAATTATTCTTAATTTTATTTCTTAACTAAAAACATGAAAGCCACTAAGGGATTTGGCACAGATGTTTAAAATTCTAAATCTGTGTTCAGGAAAAATTGAAAACCAGCCTCTTTTTGTGGACTGTGCATGCGATGTCCTGAAATTGTGTGGGTAAGTCAAACCATTTTGTCTTATGGGCTTAGAGTATTTATTGTATTTTATTTTTTAGTTACAAATAGATTACACATCACAGTGCTTAGACAAAATAAGTAGCAAAGTGCTAAGGCGCTCGGAAAACTTTTGTTGATCCCTTGATTCCAACAGCTGGTATTCTCAAAGGTCGTTAATTTTATTGTCATGTGAGATTGCCAGCCATCTGGGATCAAAAGGCTTAGGTATATTAAAGTGTATTTTCTTACAACTGGTTGCTCTCAAGAGGTTGATAAGTACTAGATGAAACCAAGGGATTATACACTCTTAGAGAATCCTTGGATAGTCTAATTAAAATTTGATAGGAAAATATCAATCTTCATTTACCTCTAGAAAATTGAATTCTCAGGGCAATATTAAGTTTATTATAACATTTTATTTGATTTTTCCAAATATGAATGAGGAATAAAGTGTTGCCAACAATTTTGGCATATTTTGAAAAATACAAAGGTAAGAATCATACAATTGACACATCCCTCCTTATCTTCTATACTACTGTACCTTCAGCTAATTCTGGGAACTCAAGATCAGCTGGGCTAATTTGCTGCCACATAGTGGCCAGTAGAGGTATATATTCTCGTATCAGTGGTTAGTCGTTGAGTAGAAAGTTTGCCATCCAGTTGATTCCAATCACATGTATCCTATGAGACAGAGTAGCACTGCCCCATAGGGTTTTCTTGGCTACAGTCCCACTGGGGACGGGTCACCAGGCCTTTCCCTCCCCACCTGGGGAGGCTTCCAGTGGCTTCAAATTGCCAACTGTTTGATTAGCAGTGAGTACTTAACCCCTATCCTGGCCTCAGTCCTGCCTTTCACTACAGGCTAGACCAGAGCATATGCACAGGTACAGGTAAGAGATAAGATCTCACGACACACAGAATCCAGGAACAGGAATGGGAGTAGCGCTTCTAGAAGAGGAGGGAGCAGGTAAGGATTGGAGGGGAGGAAGGCACAGTAGGGATCGCAATGAGAGACACATAGCTACCCCCATCCTCCTTCCAGGGGGATGAACAACAGAAACCATGGGGGAAGGAGACAGCCGCCAATGTAAGATATGAAAATAATAAGAATTTATAATTTATCAAGGGGTGGGGGTGGGGGGTAGCAGAGGAGCTGATACCAAGGGCTCAATAGAAAGTAAATGTCTAGAAAATTATGATGGCAACATATGTGCAAATATGCTTGATACCATTGATGTACAGATTGTTATAAGAACGCCCAATAAAATGATCTTTTAATAAAAATATAACAATATCATTTGTAGGTCAATGTGTGTATGGTGCACTTGCGCTCTCACATTTAAAGTTAGCAGCAACAGTGCTTAACATTTTGTAGCCCTTATGCCCATCTCTATTTACTTCTAAATACATCCATAAAGGCTTTTCTTTCTAAAGAAACAGAGCATTTGGATTATTTATTTTTGTCTTGGTTCAGTATTTGTCAGTGCCCCAGGGCTAAAGATTAGGATAGCATCCTCTTTCATTCTTCAGAAAGGATATTTCCCCCTCCTTTGCAAAGGATGTCTCCATCAAGAAATTCATTAAATATCGCTTTTACTTTCCTCACCCCTATTAAAGCTTGCCGTTTTTGAAAAAGAAAGCATCAGATGAAATCACATATGCCGAAGACACTGCTAATTCCATTGCACTTCTGGGTAAGTCAAGATTTCATTAAGGCAGAAGGAAGCAAACACAGGCCCTATTATTACAAAAGCAAAGGTCTGGTTTCACTGAGTATATATTTAAGGGGAAGAAAGAAACATCCGGTTTCCGGAAACACTCAAAAAACGCAAACTCACTGCCACCGAGTTGATGCTGACACGTAACAGCCCTGTAGGACAGGGGAGAACTGCTGTGTGAGTTTCTGGGATTGTAACTGTTTACAAGCGTAGAAAGCCCCACGGCGAGTGGTTTTGAACTCCTGGTCTTATGTATCATAGCGCAACACGTAACCACTACATAAAGCAGCTATTTTCACTGAATTTTACTGAGATTGTTTGTTCTCCCTACCTGGGCTCCTAATTTTGAATTGCCAACTCATCATAGTGTGCTTAGTGACAGTTCTTGTATTGTATTCTACCCAGATAGTTCATGAAAGCAACCAAATTGGAAGTGTCTAAAGCACGAGGACCAGCAGATACTACTTTATACGTGTTCAGTTTGATGTAATTTTGTTTAACGAATATTTGTGTTCAGCTATTTTTGGAAATCAGAAATTTTAATAATGATAAAATTGTATTACATTTACACTCTTAACAATTACTATAGTCCTTGAAAATCAAATTATTCATTAGTCTAGTATTTTAAATATTTTAAATGAAAAATTAAGAACCTTAGTATAATATACATACAAATGCAAGTGCCTCTGCTTTGTATGCAAAAAATATGGAAAACTGTGAGAGAGCAAGCATTTCCCCCCTGGATTATTATTTGCTTGATTTTCTAGAGAAAGAAAATAATAATTTCCTGGGAAATGAGATCAGTCCCTGAAACCACTATTTCGGTCATCCAAGGCCTGACAGTATGTTCCCAAATGATGCTACAATAAATGTATCCTTATTTACTTACCAGTGGGTTTGCCTTTGCAATAGAGAAATAAAAGATATCTGACTGACCCAGTAAATTTTTTTAATCAGTGTTTACTGAAAAGTTATATTCCCAGTATGCACTATACGTAAAGATGTTAAATATTCAAAGGTCATGAATAAGAAAAAATTTAACATAGCCACTCACCCTTTTGACATCTAAATAAGCTGCATAGTCTTCCACCTAGTTATTTGGGAAGAAAGGATTATGGCGTAGAGTGAGTGACAGTGTCAGAGAGATCAGACTAAGCATAGCAAGTCTGAGAGAGGGATGTTAGGACACAGGCAAGTTGAGAAATAGCAGGAAATTGTAACTCTGCAAATCTCGGTCATAGTTGGTGAAAACTGACAATGGGATACCAATCCCAAAGAGAGCACACGGTAGTAGTAATAGATACTAGGTACAGGTTTGGTTGGTAATGTTTGTTTTAAAGGCTTTCTTTTGTACTTATCATTTTCAATTATTGCTACCAGCAATGTTGGCTACCAATTCTATGGTAAATATACGGCTCATATCTCAGCTTATTCTTCACTTAATGACCATCTGGCTACAGGACAAGTTACTGTCTCTCTTGAACTCTTAGCTTAAAATGAACTCCCTTCACTGATAACCAACTGAAGTACCGCTGTGCCTCTCCTTGTTTTGTTTTGTTTTTTTAGTTGCTGGGAAATGAGTATAAGCAGAAATAACTGTATAGTATGATGGGTTGAGTGAAAAGCTATTCACGATTCTTACTATTTTTTAATAATAACATCCAGTTTTTACAATGTGCTTGTAAGTTCCAGTACTTTTTCTTCTGAGTGTTTTCATGATGTACCAGTAAGATCCAGAACTTTGTCTCCTAAATGATGCACAGATATTTCTGACTCGGGGGCAGGAATCTGGAAAGAAATGAGGGAATGAGCTCATATTCTGCCCTAAGACTGTAAAACAAGGAGTGGTTTGTGTCCCTGGGAAACTTAGTTGTTCCAGTTGACAACATGTTATTGAAGCCTAAATAGTGCTTTATTACCTCTCAAGGGAGGGTTCAAAAAAGTGAAATTAAAAATAAGAATAATTTACACTCCAGGAATGGTATATATATAGAGACAGTAACTGGATTAATGATTTCTCAGGGTACAGCCAGGAAGGTTGAGCAGAAATGAGAGTTAATAACAATAAGCACAAAAAAGAAGAAAATGTGCTACTTTTGATTGTGGTGATGATTATACAATTTTTTCCATGTGATTGAACTGTTGACTTGTATGATCTGTGGATTATGTGCCAATAGAACTGTTTTGGTTTTTTATTTTTATTTCTGAAAAAGGAGGAAAGTTGAAAGTGCCCTCTTTAACCTGGGCTCTTTTTGGATAAGAGCCCCTAAAGCAAAGGTGAGGGTTTTTCTTTTGTCCACTTGTTGTCCTACTCTCCGGCTGCCCAAAGATGAACATAGACAAGGCCTGATGCAAAACCTAAGTCTCTGAGGAGCAGCTTTGTTGTTGTTGTTAGGTGCCATCGAATCAGTTCCATCTCATAGCAACCCGAGATACAAGCGAACAGAACACTGTCCCGTCCTGGCCCATCTCACAATCTTTCCTGTGCTGGAGCCCATGTTTGCAACTACTGTGTCACTCGTCTTGTGGAGGATTCACCTGGGATTTGTTTTCATCCCACTGGCTCTCTCTTTTACCAAGCACGTTGTCCTGCAGGGACTATTCTCCCCAATACCATGTCCGAAGTATGTGCGATGACGTCTCCTCATCCTCACTTACAAACGTCCCAGATGTGCTTCTTCTGAAACAGATGTGTTTGTAGTGTTAGCTGTCCATAGTGTATTCAGTAGTCTTCACCAGCACCATAGTTCAAACATGCGGATTCTTTGGTCTTCCTTATTCATTGCCCTGCTTTCAAATGGATATGAGACCATTGAATACAACCTGGCTTGGGACAGGGCCAGGGATCCCTGTGCCTTAGTGGTTAACCATGGAGCTGTACTCCAGCCTTCAAAGAAAGACAGGGGCTTTCTACTCCTGTAAACACAGGTACAGTCTCAGAAACTCACAGGAGTAATTCGACCCTGTCCTGTAGGGTCACTATGAGTGAGTTTGTTTGTCTTTTTGTGGTGGGGGGAGTTAGGGTGGGGGCAGTGATCAGGCACATCTTCATCCTCAAAGTGACATCTTTACTCTTTAAAACTTTAAAGAGATCTTGTCTTCTACAGTAGTTTTGCATATTGCAAGCCAGCGCTTGATCTCTTGAGGGCTGCTTCTGTGAGCATTGATTGTGGTATGATGAAACCCTGGACAACTTCAATGATTTCTCTCTCCATTTCTCACAGCCTTGTCTACTGGTCCAGCTGTGAGGATTCCTGTTTTCTTTACAATATAATTTATGTACTACTACAACCAGTTTTGAATTATCAGCACAATTTTACTTACCTTGGATATTAATAAAATTGTTTAGTCATGTTCCCATGACTTTTTTTGGAATGGGCCCCAACAGGGTTCTCTCTTAGTTGGCTTTAGTCTTTCAATTTTCTTAGTGTGATAAGGAAGCACCTCCATCCAGCACTGCATCAGTGTGTTGACGTAATTGTAACGGGTATCCATTCTGTTTGTCACCAGTGGCTTCAGTCTAATTTGCACTTCTTCCTTCAGAACCATTTAGGATGTGGCGGGGTGGCAGGCACAAACAAAATAGATGTCAGACACTGAACTCAGCCCTTTTCTTATATTAACTCATTTAATCTTCACAGCTCTCCTAAAAGAAGTAACTGTATTATAGATAGAAAAACTGAGATACATGTGGTAAGGGCAGAGCCAGGATTTAACCTTATGTAGTCTGTGTTTAGGATTTAATCTTAGGCAGGGTTTATACTCAGCATTCTCGACTTTCTAGATAGGAGCGGCTGAGTTGATGAATGAGACAAATGGAAAATGATGGCTGAGGGTGTATGTGTGTGTGTATTCATGGAACTGAAGATAACAGAATGTTTTCACACAATTTGAAACTTAAGTATGTATGTATATATGCATATATATGCCCATATATGTCATAATTCATGTTGAATATTTAATGAGAATACTTCTAATGATTATTATAGTATTAGTATCTTATACTTAAATTTACAAATAAACTTAAGACAGCTATTAAGTAGTGCTTATTTTTTTCTGACAGGTGACTTAATGAAAATACCAAGCTCTGAATTAAGAATACAAATTTGTAAATGTATAGTTGATTTTTATCATGCAGAGCCAAAGAAGCATATTACAGGTAAATTTTTCAGTACTCTTTCATTAGAAAACAAAATGTTCTGGCTTGGTGATCTTCTATCCTATAAACACATAGTGAGTCTACAAATGTAATACATTAAAAATAAAAATGTTTTTGATTTTTAACTCATTAGTCATTTGAAAAAAAGGAATTATTTTTCAACTTTGGGCTTGCATGATATTCTCAATCTAATTATGAAATTTAATAGATAGTAATTAGTTTAATGATATTTGATGCAATTATTATTTCTTAATACTGCTGATAATATTATTTTTATTTTCTAACATTTTAGGGTAATTCCAGATGTCTATCCCACCCAGCTAGATGTTAAATTTTAATGGTAATACCATTCGTAGTCATATTGGGGAATCTTAAATATGTGGTAAAGGAACTTACTGAAGTTGATGATCTGAAGACAGTGAACATCTACACTGCTAATTAAGATATACTTACATGTTATTTAAGACATACTTCCTGCCTTCACAGTTTCTGCAATTTGACAATCTAAGAAGGGAGAAGATACATAAGTAATGCTATTAAACCTATATAGTCCTTAAGATAGGTGTAAATAACTCCTTGTCATTTCAAAAGAGTAGGAGCCCTTGCGTCTCAAGTGTTAGGCACTTCACTACAAACCAGAAGGTTGCTGGGTTCAAGGGCCACTAAGTTCGCTGGCTGTGGGAAGCAGAGGACTGCTGTCCCCGCTCGGGGTGGATTTGGACTTGGGTTCAAATCTCTTACTTCGAGGTTGCCCAATAATTGGCTACGGAAGACTACCATATACTTGCTACTTTCAAATTCCCTTTGCTTTTGACATATAGTAGTCCTTCAGATATAGTTTGGTCTTAGTGAATAAGCATTATTGAAATAACTCTCATTGCTTTCTTAAACAATGCTCAGCTACTTAAAAATTTAGCTTGTATAAGTAAATATCCCATGTAGTTTAGTCTAAAAAGCTGTCATAGATATTTTTCCCTCTCAGTAGTATTTTAAAATCTATACCATTGTCTAGATCAGTTTATTATTAGAATTACCAAATGTCTCATGGAGTTTACTTAAATTATTTCTCAACAAGTGATAATATTGCTTCAGAAGTGGACCACAGATCCATACTTATATACGAGGGGGTAGATAAAAAAACCCGGATTTTTTTCCCAAAGCTATGTATTTAATTTTTTTTTTAACGAAAAACATTATCACCTTTAAAATACTCTCAGTTATCCTTAATAAATAAATAAGTCTGTGATTCCATTCTTGGAAACATTTTTCAAACTCATCTGTTTGGATGGCTGCAGCACCAACCTCATTTTTTCCTTCACCTCTTCTAGTCTTCAAATTGCTGTCCTTTCATGTCCCTCTGCATTTGCAGAAATAAAAAGTGTCACGGTGTGAAGTCAGGTGCATAACGTGCATGGGGCAAGAGAGGCATGCTGTTTTAAGCCAAATACTGGTTCACTGACATGGCTATGTGAGCAGGTGCATTGTCATGGTGCCAAAACCAGTCGCCACCTGTCACAAATTAGGCATTTTGTTGCACACTTGTTATGCAATCTTTCAGAACCTCTAAATAGAAAGCTCAATTAACAGTCTGACCTGGTAGAATGTACTCCAAATGCACTGCAAGTCGACATTTTCGTCTGTTCAGTAAGTTGATAAATGTCCAAAATGAGGTTTGTCATAAATTGGCACTTCATCTTTTTTGAAGCGAGAAAACCACTCATACACTTGAGTTTTTCCCTTAGCGCTCTCCTTGTAAGTGGTGTTCAACATCGCAACAGTTTCTGTGTCATTTTTCCCAAGCAAGAAGCACATTTTCACAGCCACACACTGTTCTCTTAAATCAGCCCTGACCGAAAAAAGAAAAAAACCAAAGAACTGAGGTTTGAGCAAAACTGCTATCATGAAAAAATTCACTGTGGCCTGAGAGAACCTTCCCAGGCAACACCACTGGGTACACTAACCCAGAGCAAGCTGCCTGATGCTCATCTAGAGGGAAAAATGCATACTACAAAACCTCCACCCAGAGGAGCTTTTTTCTGTTTTTAAGCCGGCCGGGGAGAGGAGTACCCCCTTGTGTTAGTTCTTATGATGTGGCCGTGGTCAATACTTGCCCACGTGAAATTATCACTGAAGATATAGGTGCTATCGCAAGGTGTGGTGAAGAAATCTGATGGTGCCTGGTTATCAGAAAGGATAGTCAGTATCTGAGGGCTTAAAGGCCTGTCTTAAAACAAGCAGCCATATAAGTTAATTGTCAGCTAAGTCTACACAGGGGGAGCACACTAGGCCATGTGATCCAAGTATTAGAAATATTTAAATCCAAAGTCAAAGGATGAAATTGCGTTAGAGCTTTAATGCTGAGCATCCAGTTAGTAAAATACTATGGGTGATAGTGAAAGCCCAGCATCCATTTGCAGATGTCCCAAGATGGATTAAGCCTCTGTTGAACTCCATCAGACTATTGGCTAGGGATGTGAATAGTTCTGCCCTCAGACAGCGTGTATTGGAAAGTGGAATACTGTAATTATAGTTAGATTAGAATTCATCATTTATGTTCCCTTTGACTCGTGTAATTTGTCCTAGTTTCTATTGTCTTCTGCTTTCTCTTGGGTAGTTTTTTCTTCGTTCTATTGTGTTATCATTGTTTGGGATTTTTGTATGACTTCCTTTATATGAAATCCAGGACAGGCAATCCATAGAGCCAGAAACTAGATTAATCATTCTTTAGGGGTCTAGCTGAGGAGTTTGTAAGAGAATGGAGAGCTAGTTCTAATGGGGAAAACAATGAAGAAAATGTTCTAAAGTTGATTGTGGTGATGATTGCACAACTCTTTACTATATTTACATCATTGAATTGTACGCTATGTGGATTATATGCCCATAAAACTGTTAAATAAGGAAATTCATTAACATTTATCAGCACAGTACTTCCTTCCTCACTTTGCTGCATGGCTGGCACCACACAATTGACCTTGAAAGCTGTGACTTAAGGGAGAACATTCAATATTTGTAAGCGTGCTTACAAATCTTTTCCCAAAGATTACCGTCCGGCCTTTTATGGGAACAGTTTGTCTGTCCTGTACTGTATATCATTATTTCAATTTTTCGTGCTATCTGGTGGTAAACTATTAATCACTTTGTTTTAATGTAGATGATCATTATGTCAAGTGACTGTACATATGTCTTAATTAATTGTTGATAGGTTACCAGCAGGTGAGTTCATCCTATAAGATTCACATGGCTGAAGTTGGGGGACTGGCGAAAACGGTAGTCCAGTCAATGGCCTTCCTTGAAAACCAACTTGTTGAGAAACTCTGGGTCCTTAAAGCTCTGCAGCATCTCTCGACCTCTGGTTTGTACATGATTATTCATCTTCAATGCTTCTTTCCCTTTTGTTTCTGTCTAACCATGCAAAGGCTGTATAACTGAAATCTTTTAAAACTTTATTTTTAGAAGTTAATTGTACTTTTATGACGAAAGCACAAGCAGCCAGTACAATCTGCTCTCACCTCAATGACCCAGACCCCTCTGGACAACTTCTGTTTCGCTCATCAGAAATACTGTGGAACTTATTGGAAAAGTCTTCAAAAGAAGAAATTATCCAGCAGCTGAGTAATTTGGAATGTCTGCTGTAAGTCTATCTCAGTAAAATAAGGATGATTTTTAACTCTCACAATTATAGCCAGTGACACAGTGGACATCTAATTTGAGTCTGTATTAAGCAAGCTTTTGATTCGTGCAGTGTCTCCGTTTCAGGACACCTGCCTTGTGCCAAGGTAGAAGAATCTGCACAATAGCCAACCATGCATTTCTGTATAACAGCTCTTGTAATAGTTTGTTAGTAACACTAAGCTATATATTTAAATATGTTTAAATCAAATTAAACATTCATAAGAACAAATTCTCTGACTCACTCAATAAATGTAGTATTGTCTGCTAACCAGATACTACTGGAGCTCTGGTGGCATTGGGCTGCTAATCACAAGGTCCGTCTGGTAGGTTCCGACCCACTAGCTGAGTCTTTCTGTTCCTGGAGAGTCCCTGTGAGCCCAAATTGACTCGATGGCAGTGAGTTTGATTTGTTAGAGTTTTATTAAGCAAATACTAAAAAAAAAATGAGTAAGCTTTCAAATTTCTTATGCATTCAATCATTCAACAAATAATTATTCTTTGCTCCATATCAAGTTCTGTACTGGCACAGAAATAAAAGTATTAAAGACAGGTGGGTAGTAGAAATAAAATTGAAAGTAATGAGGGTATGGTCTCTATTTTCATGGAATTTACAATGTGACAGGCAAAATGGACAAACAAGTAACTAAAAAAGAGTGTACTAAATGTTACAAAAGATTATCACCAGGGGACGTATGTTCTTCAGAAGAGGCCACATTAGCAATTTGGGGTTGCAAATGACAGAAAACTGATTAAGTTCAACTGACTTACGCAGTATAGGGAGTTTATGGACTCATGGATTCAGTCACTTTTAGACCTCAAAATGCCTATGCAGCTGATTTTGTGTGTGCTATTTCAAGCCAGTATTGGGAGCTGGGCCCTCTTCATCTGTCCACACTGTCTTCCAATGTACTGGCTTCATTCTTTGGCTTCACATGTTGAGCCCTAGGCAGTCTAGATTCACGTCACCAAAATGCCAAACCAAGCAAAAGACGAGGCTGCTATTCTGGAAGCTCCAAAAAGTCTTTGGATTGAGTTTGTGCTGGCCTTGAGTGGCTTGATATTGGTCACATGACCATTCAGAACCAATTGCTGATGCTAGAGAAAAGAAATACTGGAACTCCTTAACAGGCAGTTTATGGGACCAAGAATTAGGAGGATTGGATGCTTAAACAAAGGTACTGTTATCAAAAGAAGGGCAAATAGGTTTTGGGAGGCAAAACAACAGATATTCACTCTAGACTAGACAGAGCCTGACCCATTCTTTAAAAGAAAAAGCTTCATGCAAGATATGAACCCTAATTTGGTACGTGAATGTCAGTAGGAATTGGCAATAGATGGTTCTGTAAAGAAGGAATCTTAGAGGGAACAGAAGTGAAAATAGAATGTAGCAAAATTTTAAAACAAAGAATTCAGTATGACAAAGCCAAACTATGGGGTAGAATGGGGAGAGATGTTATCAGGAACCATAATATGAAAAGACTGGTACGCTTTCTTCAGGAGGTTTAGCTTTATCCTAAGAACAAGAGAAGTCGTTAAATGGTGTGAAAAATACCTGACCTGATTGACTCTTCATTTCAGAGCAGTCACTTTGACTACTGGGTGTCGAATGGATTTGTGGACTTTTATCGGGTGCACAGTAAATTGGAAGTGGACTTGGACGTGTGACTAGCAAGTGTGACTAAGAGTAGAACTACGTATTTAGAAACAAATATTAATAGTATAAAAAGGGGGGTTGGGTGAAATAGTATTTCCATAGAATATAAAAATATGATTTTGCTTTCTAGGACTTTGAAGGAAGTATTTAAAAATCTATTTATGAGAGGTTTTAGTCATTATGATCGTCAACTGAGAAATGATATATTGGTGATCACTACAATTATAGCTCAAAACCCGGGAGCACCAATGGTTGTAAGTACAAATTGCATTCAATCGCATTGTAGAAGCAGAGGGGGTGTTGGGAGGTGGTCTTAAAACTCCGTTGTAATATTTATTTTAGTCATGTTGTGATCGTCTCCAGGGTACTTGTTACTTTGCTAATTGTTTGCATTCTTCTGTAACGTTGGGATCCACTTCAATACTTTATCATTTTCCCACTTCTTTATCAATTATGATGTTTCATTTCTTCCTAAGATCAAAGTTTCCGTCTGGTATCATTTCATTTTCCTCTGAAGGACTTCTTTTACCAGTTTTTTTTAATGGTGCAGAACTTCTTAGCTACTGGCAACAAATTCTCTGGTGTTTTTTATCTGAAAACATCTCTCTTTCACCTTACTTCTTGAAGTGTCTGTTCACTGGATATAGACTTCCATGTTAAATATTTTCTCTTCCAGTCCTTAAAAAATATTATTCCACTAAAGATGTGGTTCCACATCTTCTGATCTCCATTGTTTCCGACAGTGAAGCAGTTGTCATTGGAATTGTTTTCTCCAACAGCATTTTTTTCTCTGGCTGCTTTCGAGATTTCTCCTCTTACCATGAAGAGGATTTTTACTCTCTGTTCAGCAGATTACAGAAAAATCCTAAGGTGCAATTTTCTTTGCACTTAACCTAATTGGAGTTGTCTGAGTTTCTTGAATCTGTAAATGTTTATCTTCCACACAGTTTGGAAAATCTTTGTTCATTGTTTCTCCTGTAACTTTTCCAATCTCCCTTCTGTCCTTCTGACGTTCCAATTACACATCTGCTTGTCTTTTGATAGCGTTTCACAGTCTGAGCTTCTCTGTTCACTGTTTTTAGTTATTTTCCCTGTATTCTTCTGATTTGATCTTTTGTATTGGTCTGTATCTTTAAATCTCTTTTTTTCCCTATATCATCCCATTATGCTGTTAATCTCATCCACTGCCTTTTTATTTCAGATACTTTTCAAAGTTTGTGTATTCCTCTTTTTTTATCATTTTATTAGGGGCTCATACAACTCTTATCATAATCCATACATTCATCAATTGTGTAAAGCACACTTGTACATTCATTGTCCTCATCATTCTCAAAACATCCACTCTCCGCTTAAGCCCCTGGCATCAGCTTCTCATTTCCCCACCTCCCTCCCTGCTCCCCCCTCCCTCATGAACCCTCGATAATTTATAAATCATTGTTTTGCCACATCTTGCACTGTCCGACGTCTCCCCTCACCCACTCCTCTGCTGTCCGTCCCCCAGGGAGGAGGTCACATGTAGATCCTTGTATCTGTTCCACCTTTCCAACCCACCCTACCTCCCCCCTCCCAAAGTCTTTGTATTTTCATTTCGTTCCTCCTTGTAGTTTTCATCTCTCTGCTGAGACCTCTGATGCTGCCCTTCTATGAGTTTCTCTATTCTGGATTCTGCGTTATTGCTCTAAACCAGGGGTGTCAAACTGCTGGCCCGCATGCAGCCCCGAGGTAATTTTTTGTGGCTCACGATGCTCTGAAATAACATGTAATGATGAAATTGTGTGTACGGTATTGCCTCGATCTCCCCTAAGTGCTTTTCTTCATAACAAGTTTTTCTATTTTCATTTTATTTCAGAGCATCGTGGACCACAAAAGATTATCTCGGGGGCCGCATGCGGCCCACTGGCCACCAGTTTGACCCCCCTGCTCTAAAGAGTGTTGGGTTTATTTGTTTGTTTGTTTGCTTGCTTTAGTAGTCACTTAACTTGAGTGAGCTCATCGCTGCGAGTGGATGACAGTTCAAATCTCCATTCATTTCTTTGCGTCTTACCTATGATGCTTGAAGTATTAACTGCACATTTGGTTCAGGGATCAGTCAGATATTTAGGCAATTTATACACAGAATTTGGGGGTTCCCACGCCGGCTCTTTCCTATTTAGTATTTCTCCCTTCACTGTCTAGCCTATGGTTGCCCTATGGTTTGCCTCTGCCCTCCGGTCCTTCAAGCCACCAGAAGTTTTAGCCTGAATCTTCAGCATCTTCACCATGTGCCTCCTAGACTTGTAGAAAACATTATCTCTTCCAACCCTTACAAGACCATTAAAAAAGGAAGAAGGAGACACAGAAAACTTACCCAAGGCCATTTCCTTTTTGAATTGCTGGGTTCTCTGTAATAGCTGCCTGCTTTTGATTATTCTCTACTACTTTTAGATTGTTTTCTTATATTTTATTCAAAGTTTGTTATTGTTATTGGCAGAGCAGTTAGTCTTTTAGGAGCTACTTAACCACAATAGCTGAACGACCCCATATTTTATAATGTAAAATCATTGAAATTTTAGAGGTAGAAACCTTTGCCAACAATGTCTGCGTATAATCGTCTGCTTACTGAGTTGAACTTCAAGGAACTTCAAGGAACTCTCCTAGTGTACAAAGTCCAGCTTAGACAGCTCTGTCAGGCACGACTCCTTCATCCTGGAATGTTTGCAACTCTTGTCATTTTTTACCAGGGTGTTTTATGTTAAGTAGAAAACTCTTAACTAAACATTTGAGAGTGGTTGAGGTATGATCAGATGTTTAAGAACAAAGCCTTGGAAATAACAACTGGATATTTCTCCCTTACTGTGTCAAATGAAGGTAGAGCAAATAACCAGTGACATTCGTTAGGCCTAATACATTTTGGTGTCTTACAAAATTTTAAGTAATATTTTATTAAACAATCTTAGATTAATGTAAACTATCTCTTTTTAAAAAAATCATTTTATTGGGAGCTCATACAACGCTTATCACAATCCATACATCTATTGCATCTATTGTGTCAAGCACATTTGCACATTTGTTGCTATCATCTCTGCTTTCCACTTGAGCCCCTGGCATCAACTCCTCATTTTATCCCTTCCCTCCTCGTTCCCCTCTCCCTCATGGACCCTTGATAATTTACAAGTCATTATTATTTTGTCCTATCTTACACTGTCCATCATCTCCCTTCCCCCACTTTTCGGTTGGCTGACCTCCAGAGAGGAGGTTATATGTAGATCCTTGTAATTGGTTCCCCCTTTCTACCCCACTTTCCCTCCACCCTCCCGGTATCACCCATAAACTATTTCTTAAAACCTGCAAAAATTAGTTTAAAATGAAATAAATTACAAATATAACTGGCAATATGCTTTCTTTCCTTGTTTGTAATATTTCATGACTTAAAAATGGCAATAAGTAAAAAAAATAGCAATAAGTAATGATTGTTAAATAGTAGGCAAATTCAGGGCATCTGTGTTTTAATTAATTGAGCCCTCTGTTTGTTTTGTGTATTATATCAGGAAAGTGGCTTTTCCCAAGATTTAATATTATTTGCAACCTTTAGTGAAGGTAAGAACTATTTTTAAGAATTCAGCTTTTTGAAAAAGAATTCAGCTTTTTAATAATGATTTTAATGACTCTTGAACACTATTTTAATTTTCCTCTTTTTTTATTTCTCCCACAGTTAAAAGTCAAAATCCTTTGGTAAAAGGACTTAAGCTTACTAATTCCTATGAAGATTTTGAGTTGAAAAAATTGCTTTTCAACATAATTGTGATCTTATGTAAAGACTTGGCTACTACACAGGTAAAAACTAATCAAAGCAAGGAAGAGAAATAAATATAATCTTGTCTCGTGGTAGTGTAACTTTCCTTAAGTATGAGTGCAATTCTTTCTTTACCCACATTTCACCACAGGAAGTAAATTCTTACTGATTTTAATTTTAATTTTTAAAACTTTGCTTTATCTATTAGTAAACCGTGAAAGTAGCTAAATTTATACCAGATAAAACAATGAAAAACAGGAAAACCTAACATTTGCTAATATATGTAAATCTCTTGAGTTATATTACGTAAGATAAAAGAACTTCCCTGGAGATTCCTCCGATCTAGGATAGAGACACTCTACTCATTGAACTTCCCTTTGTTGAGTTTCATATAGCAGTTTTGTTTGTTTGTTTAGAAATTGAAGGTCTATAGTAAACTGACCAAGCAAGTCTGTCAGCACAAATTTTCCAACAGCATGTGGTTACCTTGTGTCTCTGTGGCACATTTTGGTACTTCCCATAAATTTCAAACTTTTCATAATGCTATTGCATACACAATAGGCTACAGTCTCATGTAAGCATGACTTTTATATGTACTAGGAAACCAAAAGAAATTGTGTGACTCTCGATTGTGATGCTCATTTTATTGTGGTGGCCTGGAACCAAGCCTGCAATATCTCTGAGGTATACCTATATCCTGCCTCTGGCCTTAGACAGTGCTTGAAAGAGTTTGGGGACCAAAAGGAAATTTGAAGCAACACCACATGTAACTAAACTACTAGAATTGTTGGCGATACACCTTTCTGTTGCTATATAGTTTACAAAGCTCTCACCTCAACCTCACACAACAGCTGTGTGACCAAAGCAGAGATATGACACTGATTCTTTTACAGCAGGAACTGAACCTCAAAAGGGTTAGATGCTCCTAACGAAAATGTGGTTAACCAGAAGTGAAATTCACTCCAGAAAGGGTGAACCACTCTTTAAAGTACCATGGTATAATCATAAAGAATAAGTCTGAATTCGTGCTGCAATATAGTTCATAATCATATAAAGATGGTTTTACAGTACAAGCAATCCCCTGGTTGTAAACATAACTGAATGAATGACAACATCTCGGAACCAGGTAGGTCATTCGCTGGCTGCACACCTAGAGGCCCTGCATGGGAAGTGGCTGAGGGGCAATGCCTACGCCTTATTCCTCCTCCTCTGGCAGCTGGCACTCCCTAACCCTACCCAGCCCCAGACCCCAAGGTGCCATCTGTAAATGGGGCCCAGGAAGTGATGGTGGGTCGCAGGAGACTGGCACGGTGAACCTGCACCTCCGCTACATCCTAGGAGCCCGTGAGGGCTCTGTCTTGGGATGAAAAGACCCAAACTCCAGTGGGAGGCTGCAGGAGTGGACCCAGCTTCACCCACCACCCAGCTGGACCCAGATTTAGCAAAGTCTGCAGTCACACACAGCTCAGCAACCCGGCATCCCAACCTGGGGCCCAGGGAGGTCAGCCCCAGCCTAGTCTTACCTCTGCTTGTCCAGAGCCAGCTCTAGGCAGCCCTAGCGGGTCCCCAGCTCCCAGGGGACAGTGGAGCTGAGTCCAGTTCCACTCCAGAGAAGGGCACAGGCGAAGAGAAGTCCACCACTAGGGACTGGTGGGCTTCATTGTAGACCGCTGGCGACAGGACCAACCAGGTGCTACTTTGTGATGAGCATCAGACCGTTATTATTACATTATTATGTTAAAGAGGCTTGAGTGTGTCTGTAAATGTTTCTTTAATGTCCTTTATGCACAGAGAGATGTAGTACATATTGAGACAAATATTTGACTAACTGATGTGAGATACAAACAATGCCTACCTTCTGATTTACATATAAATTCAATGTAAAGACTGATTTTGGAATGGAGCGGTTTGTAATCCAGGGACTTCCTGTATATCAGTTGAGGATTTCTCAGGCAGAATCCCAGGGTTGTCAGCCTCTAGCCATGTGATCGGGAATAGATTGTTTGGGTCCTCTACATTCCAGATGTCTCGGCTTCAAACTGAGGCTAACACCTACCTCTGAGGATTAAATGGACCCAACATTCTCTCAATATTACACTTTGAAGATAGTCCCACTATTGGAGCTGTTACACATCAAGACAGTTTCCACTTGGTGTTGACCCCATGTGTTACTGCATAAAATTGCTCCTCCAGATTTTCTTTGTTATCTATAAGGAAACAGATCTGGAATGGATTGCAAAGTCCTTTTCTTCCACCGGGTCTCTGAGTGGGTTTGAACAACCAACGTTTAGGTTATGCCTATTGTTTCTCTCAGAAAAACCCTCAAGCCTATGGCCTACCACAGGGGCCGCACCAATGGATGAAAACACATCAACAGGACGGTACAGGGCCAGGCAGCATTTTATTCCGGTCTACGTATGGCCACCACGAGCTGGAGCTGACTTAATAGGGAACTAGCGACAACAATGCAGACTATGTCCTCTGAAATGCCAAATGAGCATTCGATAAAACATGGTTTATTATGAGCATAGAAAACTATAGAAAAATTTAAATGATTGCTATAAAGAAATAAAATGTACATGAGTTGATAAACCAATTTTGCTTCATGAGGCAGCATCATTAGGCAGTTAAAGTGATCTAAGATAATTGTAAGCTGCCTAAAGTACTGTGGAAGCAATGAAACCAAATAATGTTTGTTAATGCCAAGTATTTTTGACCTGCTTTACAGTTCACAGATTTTTAAAAAATCCTTTAACAGCCTCGTTCCCTACTTAGTTCCTGTTTTGCAATAGAAGAAATTAAGACTAAGAGAAAAGTTTAATAATTTCCTACCAAAGCTGTCTGAGGCTTAAGAACAGATATTCTCAACTCTAAATCTTCTGTTCTGTTCTAGGTGGACTATTAGAAAATTGGGGGTGGGGGTAGGGGTGGATGCATCGATGTTATTGCACAAAGGTGTTTATAAGCCCAGTTGTTTAAAAAATTGAATAGAAAATAGTACCTGGTGTTTACTATGTTAAGCCACGGCCGTGGAGTCAATTCTGACTTAGGCAGAGCAGAAGTGCTCCACAGGAGTTCCTAATATTGTAAACCATAACAGGAGTGGATCGCTCCTCTTTCTCCTGAGGGTCGGCTAGTGCGTTTGAATCATGGACCTGTGCTTAGTCACCTAATGGTCAGCCCACTGGTCTTTCACTGCTACCAGCAAGTTGATTCCAACTCATAGGACCCTATAGGACAGGGTAGAATTGCCTCTGTGGGTTTCCAAGACTAACTGTTTACCAAAATAGAAAGTCTCATCTTTCTCCATCAAAGGGACTGGTGGATTCAAACTGCTGGATTGGCAGTTAGAAGCCCAATGAGTAAGCACTACCCCACCAGAGTTCTTCCTGACCTACTGAATCTAGGAACCTTAAATATGTAATGACTCCAATCAGAAATTATCCTTACTCTTTTCCATATGGGTGTTATTTTTGTTTCTTTTGGTTTGATACAAGTTATAGATTCAAAACCATTATAAAACATTAAGGCATGTAACTAGACATGGCTTGCTACCTGAATGACATTCATTTGATAGAATGTTTGTATAAGTCCTCTTATGTATAGTGGGGAATTAGCCGTAGTCATACTTTAGAGGGAAAAAGTTTTTGTAGTACAGAACTAAGTTTGAATTGATTTTTTTTTAAGGGAAGGATAGACATGTCAGAGTTTATTTGCCTCAATTTTCTACTTCTTTGGTTTTATTATAAACAATAACTAATACATTTACCACATAGGCAGCATAAATGAATATTTGTATGAATATTATCAACTAGAGAATACATAGCTCTGAAAAGATGGTCAGACCCGGTGTGTTATTTGAGGACCACCGATACTGTTTAGGCTATAGTGTAACATCTCTTAGGTTGGGATAAATGTTTAGGAAGGAAACATTTTTAAATTATTAATAAAATATGACATTGGGGATCTTTTATGTAGTTTTCTTAAATGAATTAAGATTGTTCTAATTTTGTGTCTACAATGCTTTGTTTTTTTCTTTTTCTTAGCTATTAGTTCATGGCAAAATTATTTTGGCTTTATTCACCTACGTTAAAAAACCAGAGAAACACAAAATTGTTGAGTGGTCTGCAGCACAGCATGAAGAATTACAGCTACATGCAATTGCCACGTTGTCGTCAGTGGCCCCTTTATTGGTGGAAGAGTATATGCTGTGCCAGGGAAATGCCCGGGTGCTTGCCTTTCTAGAATGGTGTGAGAGTGAAGGTGAGTGGCCCTTCAAGATGTTTGTGAACAAAGGAGAACTCAGCAAGTGATAGCTGAACTATATTAATTTACTCTTGAAGTAGAATGTTTATCTCTCCTTATGTTATTCACCTGAAAGTCTATTTTATCAGATGATTATTGCCACTCCTGCGTTTTTATGGTTGCCATTGCCTTGGTAGATTTTTTTGGCCATCCCTTGATTTTTAGTCCATTTTTGTCTTTGAGTTTAGGATGTCTGTTGTAGGCAACATACAGGTGGGTCTTATAGTCTAATCTGAGCTGCTACTCTCTTTTCACTGGTGCATTTAATCCATTGATGTTCCATATCATTCTTGATATAAGCAGGTTTGTTGCTATTACGTTGCTGTGTTTGTGGTTTCATAGGCGTCCGTGTTCCTCCTCTATTTCTGTGCTGTTTCGACTGCTGCCCCCATTCTACTGGTTTCTGAGTGGTCTGTTGCTGTGTGATGCTGTCAGGTTTGTCTGCTGCTGTTGTTGATTCTCTGCCCATAGTTACCTGGTCAATATTTTTGTAGTGTTTTTCTTGTTTTTATGAATTCTTTTAGTTTTTCCTTGTCTGGGAATACCTTTATTTCTCCCTAGTATTTGAGGGATAATTTTGATGGACAAAGAATTCATGGTTGACAGGTTAGTTTCTTTTTTCTTCTTTCAGAATTTTATATATCTGACTTATTTAAAAATGAATATTGAAAGCATTCTACTGCCCTACCTTCTAGGAGTTGCTCTGAGACAAACTTGGGTGAATGGCAGCAGTTGGTTGGTGTGTGTATAAGGTGATCTAAAGATACCTGTGACAATTTGAATAATTTTTTTAAATGTTGAGTAGCAAAAGCAAGTTGTAAAAGTTATGTAAATTCTGATACATTTGTGTTAATTTTTAAAGCACACTGTTCTGGGACCAGAAGGAGAATGGAAGGGGGATATTATTTTATTTCTCTTTTTGAAAACAACAACAAACTCAATGCGAAGCTTTATCAATTGTTAAACTTATAGATAAACATAAGATGTCTGCTGTGCTCTGTTTTCCATTTATTTTAAATACTTTATATTTTAAGTTTCTCGGTGTAAAGTCAGCCATTAATATTTCCCCACAGATCCCTTCATGAGTCAGGGGAACAGTTTTCATGGCACAGGGGGCCGTGGAAACAAGTTCGCCCAGATGCGTTACACGTTACGACTGCTCAGAGCCATGGTCTACCTGGAAGAGGAAGCCATCAACAAGGATCTTTGTGAGAAGGGTCTAATTCAGCAACTGATAGGTAAAACACACATGTTAGTTTATTGATGAAAGTAGAATGCTTATCTTTTTTGTCCTTATAGCTAATCTAGAATCTCTCAGATGTTTTCTAGATTTGTGTGTCATATTGTTGCTATAAACCAGTTTGTTTTTTATTAAGCCTTCACTATCATTAATAATTTTAATGTTTATTTCCTCAATTAAGATGCAACTTCATTTAAGGTTACCTTTATTATTATGATTGGTTATTATGTTCCATTCTCTTTTTTTAAATCATTTTATTGGGGGCTTGTACAACTCATCACAATCCATACAAACCTCCATTGTGTCGAGCACATTTGTACATTTGTTGCCATCATCATTCTCAAAACATTTGCTTTCCACTTGAGCCCTTGATATCAGCTCCTCGTTTTTCCTCTCCCTCCCCCACCCTCCCTCTCTCATGAACCCATGATAATTTATTTTAAAACATTTCCTGCATGTCTTACACCAACCGTTGTCTCCCTTCAACCACTTTTCTGTTGTCTATCCCCCTAAGAAGGGGTTATATGTAAACCATTGTGATTGGTCTCCCTTTCTGCCCTCACTTCCCCTTACCCTCCTGGTATCTCTATCCTCATTATTGGTCCTGAGGGGTTTATCTGTCCTGGATTCTCTGTGATTTGAGCTCTTATCTGTATCAGTGTACATGCTCTGGTCTAGCGGGATTTGTAAGGTAGAATTGGGGTCATGATAGTGGGGGTGGGGGTGGGGTGGAGAGCATTAAAGAACCAGAGAAAAGTTGTATGTTTCATCAGTGCTATACTGCCCCCTGACTGTCTCATCTCTTCCTTGTGACCCTTCTGTAAAGGGATGTTCAATTATCTACAAATGGGCTTTGGGTCTCCACTCCGTGCCCCACCTCATTCACATTGATATGATTTTTTGTTCTGGGTCTTTGATGCCTGATCTCATCTGCACTTCATGATCACACAAGCTGATGTGCTTCTTCCATGTGGGCTTTGTTGCTTCTCAGTTCGATGGCCTCTCCACCACAGATGCTATATCTTTTAATAGCCAGACACCATCAGCTTTCTTCGCTACATTTGCTTATGCACCCACTTTGTCTTCAATGATCATGTCAGGAAGGTGAGCATCACAGAATGCTGGATTATTAGAAAAAAATGTTCTTGCTTTGAGGGAGTCCTTGAGTTGAGGCCCAATGTCTGTCTGCTACCTTAATACTTAACATATAAATATGAGTACATAGATCTATTTCCCTATCGTTATGTATAAATATATGCACATGCCTGTATTTAAACCTCTATAAATGTCCATTGCCTCTTAATTATTTCCTCTATTTCCTTTTACTTCCCTCTTGTCTCACTATCATGTTCGGCTACATTGCCCTTGATGAAGCCTCACCAGGCATCCTATGCCCTTATTGATTTTAGATCACTTGTTGTTCCCTTGTCCCTGAGTTGTTTGACACCCCACTTCCTTTCTCCTACCTCCCCCTCTTCTGTGTCTCCTCAGAATTGTTGGTCCCATTGTATGTTTCATTCTTATAGTAGTAAGGTCACCACTTTAGGGAAACTTTTTGGAGAAATTTTTAAAAGGATAACATTTTATTTTCTGATGCATCTGACATACCAGAACAATGGTACATTGACATATAGAAGAAGGAGCACAAGTTTCTTTTCTGATGGGAAATACTAGAGCATCCTTGAATTTTTATATATAATTCATTATGCTTAGTTATCTTACTCCCACAACATGTACATGTTAAGCCAGTGTAAAACCCAGAACCACTAACACTAGCCTTTTCTCTTGGGTTAATTAGGAAATATATAGTTTCTCCAGTCCTTGCCTTTCCTTCCTCACTGATTTTAAAATGTCAGAGTGATTCATAGTCATTGGTGACCTGGTGAATAAGAGATTGTCATTGCAGTGTAGTTTGCTTTATGTAAAATGCAAATGTGGACTTGAAAGCACTCCCTCTAAAGTGATTTGTGGAGTGAGGTGTTACTTTCCATGAATAATGCTGATGGTGGGGAGGGGTACCAGTGGAGGAAAGGAGACCATTGAAAAGCCTTAGGCAAAGCCCCCTCCCTGGGGGAAAAACAACAGAAAAGTGGGTAAAGGAGATGTCGGATAGTGTAAGACATGACAAAATAATTTATAAATTATCAAGGGTTTGTGAGGGAGGGGAAAACATGAGGAGCTGATATACCAAGGGCTCAAGTAGAAAGAAAAAGTTTTGAGAATGATGATGCAAATGTGCTTGACACAATGGATGTATGTATGGATTGTGATAAGAGTTGTATGAGCCTCCAATAAAATGATTAAAGAAAGAAAGAAAAGAAAAGTCTTAGGCAAAAACATTCAGCTTCTTGATAAATTTGCCTAGGACTACCAAGCCTGCAAATAGATTCCATCACTGGAGTCCAAATACTGCATGGCTTAAATTCAGGAAAAGTGTATGTCAGTGTTGTGCCTTTTCACTATACTTATTCAGTCTGTATGCCGTACAAATAACCAGAAACTGAACTGTAAGAAGAAGAATGCAGCATCAGGATTGAGGAAGGCTAATTAACCACCTGCAATATACAGATGGTACAACTTTGCTTGCTGAGCACAAGGAGAGCTTGAAGCACCTGCTAAAGAAAATTCAGATTGCAGCCTTCAGTACGTGTTTCACTTAATCTGCTAACTAAAAGGTGGGAGGCTTGAGCCCATCCAGAAGCATCTTGGAAGAAAGGCATAGCAATCTAATTCCAAAAAAATCAGCCATTGGAAATGGCTTGACTTGTCACTTATCACTAATTGCCTTCATGAACAACTGCTTCCTTTGCCATGAGACTGGAACATGTGAATGGTGCCCGACTGCTATTAATGACTGTTCTGACCAAAAATTCTGTAGATGAATGCTACTAATAAAAAGGGGGAGAAAGTCAATGAAGAATTTAACATTCTCCTGGAATCCAAAATTTTGGGAGCCACAGAAAGTGAATGGAACCCTGGGACTCTTATCCTGAGGTATTCCCTAAACCTTTTACCAAAAATATTGCTTGAAGTCTTCTTAAAACTAAACAAAGAGTTTAAATTATCTAGTAAAGAATTTCTGCCTTGAGCTTTGTGCTCTTTAAATATCTATCTCTGTGGAATCAAATGACACAGCAACTCAAAAGATTAAATTAGAATCTTGAGGGGCAGCGAGTTCACGTTAATGAGGGAGGACCAACTCAGAAAAGAAGACTGAGAATGTTGTACAATTTGAAGAATATGAAGTGTCAATGAATTATAGAAATTATTGCATTGATGTATGTTCTGCTATGCTGATTATAAAAAAAACAGCAAATATAAAATAAATTATTGGAAAAAGAAAAGAAAATCCTCTCAACTGGTCCACTGGACAGCATCATGATCAATGGAGAGAAGATTGAAATTGTCAAGGCCTTCATTTTGCTTGAACCCATAATCAGTGCTTATGAAGCCATGAGGCAATGAAACAATGTGTTGCATTGGGCAAATCTGATTTTTAAGATCTCCTTAAAGTATTGAAGGGTAAAGATATCACTTTGAAGACTAAGGTATGCATGACCCAAGCCAGGGTGTTATTGGTTGCTTTGTATGCATGTGAATGTTGGACAGTGAATAATAAAGACCACAGAAGAATTGATGTATTTGAATTTTGGTGTGGACCAAGTAAATACAAATTCCAATGGACTGCCAGAAGAACAAACAGATCTCTCTTGGGGAAAGTACACCCAGAACACTCGGTCAAAATGAGATGGCAAGACTTTCTATCACATGCTTTATAAATATTATCAGAAGAGATCAGTCCTTGGAGAAGGACATCGTGCTCGGTCAAATAGAAGGTCAGCATAAATGAAGAAAACCTTCACCATGTGGATGGGCCCCACCCTGACAACCGTGGTGAGGCTGGCACCAGAGCAGTCAGTGCTTCATTCTATTGTCCACAGGGTTGTTGTGAGCAGGACCCGTCTTCATGGCACATAACAGCCACAGTCTCCTTAAGGAGTGTATGAGCGCGCTGAGTCATGTCTGCGATCTGCAGATCCCTGCAGACAAGCTTTCTCAGTAATACAATTGGGCTGTGCTCCTCGGGTGCCTTCAATAAACAGTTCAGTACAGTAGCTTCCAAGGGATCTACCGGACCAGTTAAATCCAAGGCAGAGATATCAGCTCAGAAAATTGGGGAGAATGGTTTTTTGGGATCCCAAAGGAGTCATCTTGATAGATTTTCTCATAGGTCACAGGATGAACACGGAGGATGTTTGCAAAGATGTTTTTTAAGAAAGTGGATGACTACGCTGGTGAGAGAAAGGTCAAGAAAGTTGTGCTGAGGAATTTTTTTCCTTCATTAAAATGGACCTGCTCCTTCTTTGAGGGCAGCAAATGCTGTCCTACAAGATTTTCCATGGGAAACCTTGCCCCACCCTTCCCGGGGGCCTGGTCTTGTCCCCTTCCTTTTGTTCCCTAAACTTAAAGAACATTGACAATTTGAGTCCCAAAAGGAAAGTCAAAACCATTGTTTTGTGTGGTATAAATGGAAGAGTGCAGAATTCTTCAGGGGGGTGTAAGTGAGTAGGAAATACCTCCTTCAGAAATGTACGGAACTAGATAGAGGCTATGTCAAGGAATAATAGCTTCGTCAAGAAATAATAGCTTCACATCTTGATATTTTTATTTAATAAATATTCCTATAATTTTGTATCAATACTTTTTCACTTACCCTTGTATATATATAGAGCTATTGATTGTATTGAGAACCAAAAGAAGCCATTCTTTTCTCCACAGCTTCTAAATAACTTGGGAATAAAAAATACCACCTTTGAAACACATCTTAGTTAAAAGTAATCAGCCAAGAATGTCTACCTTGAGCACTGTGTTTCATCAGAGAACTCTAGGAGGACCAAGTGGACAAGGTTAAACAGAGGCATAGAGGTCAGCAAGTTTCGGTCGGTTTAGAATGGAGGATGAGAAGGCGTGCAGAGCATGAAGAATGTAATCAGTATCAGTGACTTGTACACTATTAAACTGGGGTGCTTTTTGCTGTGCGTATTTCAACAACAATAAGAGAGAGAACATTGTTCTCCTAACCAAGGAAATTGTATTGGAAAGGGGATTTCAAACAGTAATCGATAAAATTAAAATACAATGTCCAATAACTTCATATTACTTACATTTCTTCATGTAGGAATCTTTAAAAATACAATAAGCAAGCATAGTGAAAAGGAAGAGGCCATTGTTCTGGAGATTCAGTCTGATATCTTACTCATCTTATCTGGCCTTTGCGAACATCACGTTAACAGAAAGGTAAGCGTGCCTGTGAGCCGGTTTTGGTCAGCTCTCCCAATCACCTGCCACGCCGAATGTTTTCTTAGTTAGTGCTAATAATCGTTATCTTTTAAAGGCTTATAAAATTTTAATTTAATATTATTGCTCAGAATTAGATTGTAATTAAATTGGAATAGCATGTACATATTTTAAGTACATATTTTGAAGGAGTTTTAACAACTGTATACTTCAATTAACCAATGAAAGCGTAGAATATTGCCAACTCCCTACATTTCCTTTGTACTTCTTACCAGCCAGCCATCTCTCTACCTCCAGACAATAATTTTCTAGTTTCTATCCCCATTGGTTAGTTTTGGTTATTCTTTAACCTTTTATGAGCAGAGTTACACACTATTTGCTATTATGTTTGCTTGCAGAGCTAACATCAAGTTTTAGAGCTATTTCATGTTGCTGGATGTACCAATCATTCATTTCATTTTACTGCTGAAAAATTTTCCGTTGTATGAGTACCCCAAAGTGTGTTGATCCAGTCTCCTATGGATAATCACTGAGTAGTTCCCATTATGAAGAAGGTTTTGACGAAGAGTTTTATACAACCTTTTTTTCTGAACATATTTGTTCTCATTTCTGTTGGGTAAATACCTAGGACTGGAATTGCTGGTCATGAGGAAGATAGTATGTGTTTAACTTTCTAAGATGTTGCAAATAGATTTCCAGCATGAGCATAATGATTATGAATGATTTGGGTTTTGTTTATTTGAATTGGGTTCTCTCTAATACTAAAAATTAAAACAAGAGTTTTAGTAGTCTTTGATCTTTTTAAACTCAGTAACAAATCTGAGTCTCTGAGATCGATAACGTAATATCAGGAGAAGAAATTGGGAAGATAACAATAAATGTAAAAAGCATGGTGGTTCCAATGAACAGATTGGGGGAGAGGCACAGGATGGTAAGTTCATACTTTGGTTTGGGCTTTGATGGTTCGAGCTTCTTTCTATTACACCATCCTGTGCTTGGCCTTTTCTACAAAAATAATCATGATATATATTTTTTTCACTGAGACCTAAAACTAAGCAGCAAAGCAATGAAAAGATAATTGTAGAGGAAAAAATTTGACTAGTAATAACTTCATTTAAATTAGTGAAAGTTTTAGCTACCATTTGTTTGTACATTTCTCTCTCTGAAGCTTTGGAAAATCTTCCACGGTATAATTTTATCCTCTTAAATTAGTTGTTGCTACCTAATATTCATCTGATGTACTGCTAGACTGTATCCATTATAACATGGAAGAAAGTCAGGGGTGAGTCTTACAGTTTATTTCTAAAAAGAGAGAGAAAGGATTAAAGGCAAAAACTGTGAAGGACATTAACTGTTGATTGATGTTGATTGGCGCTCTCTCATGAAATGATTAGTTGTACAATAGTTATTTTTCATGAGAATTTTTGTTTCCCTGATAATAATATATATTTTTGGTAAATTTGGAAAAAACAAAAAACAGCTTCAGGAGAAAAGTGAAGGGCAAAGAAAGGGACAACTTATTTACTCCTTTTTCTTTAACTTAATCATTTTATTGGGGACTTACAAATCTTATGATCTTATTATTTCAATAACAAATTTTAAATGAACTTCTTAAACAGGAAACTTTTGGAACTGACGGAGTAAATATAATTCTCCATGTAATGAGAACAGACCCCAAGAAGTTACAGAGTGGATTAGGCTATAATGTACTTCTTTTTAGTACATTGGACAGCATTTGGTGAGTATTAATGTAATCAAGTTAGGTAGAATCTTACCCCAAAATTACCTCGGTAGCTACGTATGCCAATTTTCTCTACTCAAAACAGGCCGAGAAGGTAGCTCTCAGTGTCTTTTTCTTTTAGATAGTCCCAAAACAACATTAATGTCCTTTGGAAAGTTTTTTGGATTTTTTTCCCATCAATCAAATTCAAAACTCTCTTTGTGTCTAAACTTAAGTTCTTGCTTTTGTGATTCAAACCGTTTACTTGAACCTGATCTAGCATCTGCTGTTGGAGTGATTCTTTTTGCTTTTAAAGACTTCTGAGTCCCTTCATCTTCTCTTCAAGGAATGGAGACATGGATTGGGTGTTTTCTTATCAGTACTCACTGCCATCCAGCCCATTCCAATTCATAGCAACACTATAGGGCACAAGAGAACTGCCCCTGTGGGTTTCCAAGACTGTAAACCTTTACATGAGTAAAAAACCTCACCTTTCTCCCTTGGTGCAGATGGTGGCTTTGAACTGCTGACCTTGGATTAGCAAGCCAACCCATAACCCACTATGCTGGAAGGTTGTCTTTCTAATCAGTTTTATATCCAACTCTCTTTAATATTGCCAAGGCATCCTGATGGTGCTGTGGGCTAGGTGGTAGGCTGCTAACCACAACAAGGTTGGTAGTTCAAACCTACCAGCTGCTCTGTAGGAGTAAGATGAGACTGGTCCCACAAATAGTTAGACTCAGAAGTCTTTATAAGGTTGTTTCAAGTCAAAAAGCAACTTGATAACTGTGGATATTTGCTTTCTTCTCATGTGTTTTCAGGGTGGGGACGGGGAAATGCTGCTTTTCTTAAGTATTAATAGAACAAAATTTGTCTTGGAGAAAAATTCTTGCATTTCTGATATTATTAAAATTTAACATGCCACCATTGTTCTGTCTGGGTGGAATCTATGATGGCCAAACTATAATTATTTCCTCTGATTAATATTACTTTCCATCAGAGCAGGAAACTAGATTTCACTACTGCTGAATTTCTGTTTATACAGAGAGCTGAACTACTCTAATTCAAATACACATAGACAATCAAGTTAATGTTATATTTCATTCATTACTATACAGAATAGAAAATATTTACAGTAAACTCTAATCAACCAAAGAACCATATTAAATATAGAAAAATAATCAGATATGTGTTAAGTGCCTCCTCTACTATTAGCAATATGTAATGGGTTCAGAGTTTACTGTAGTTGATAGCTTGATATTTCCTAATCCCTTCTTACTGTCTTCGAGTCAGTGATGACTCATAGCGACCTCGCTGTGGGTTTTGAACTATGACTGTTTGCAGGAGTAGAAAGCCCAGTCTTTCTCCCATGGAGCTGCTGGTGGTTCAAAACCACCAGCCCAATGAGAGTAGATTGCAGCCCAATGAGGAGTAACTACGACACCACCAGGGTGGCATCACATGGACTAAGATAAAAAATTTTAAGCTATTAGTTTTGTTCCAAAAATTCAAACTCATAGCCAACAAGTCAATTCTGAGCCAGTGACTCTATTTATTTATGTGTTTTTATTATACAAAATTTCAAATCCTATTGGGTAGGAGATAAAGCAGAAGTAGCAAATAAATCAATGAAAAGTAAATAATTCTGTGTCTACAATACTTACAGTGAATCAATAGCTTTATGGCATTCCTGCTAAAGGGCAGGCAATTCCTCTAATAGATATTCTGATTTACCTATAGATATGAAGGGGCTTCAAAACATTGGGGAGTAAATTCCATTATCTTTTAATTCCATTTTTAACTTAAAAAGTTAGTGAACTGTTTAAAGTCCCTTCATATATACCTACCCTAGAGTATTCAGAATTACTATTTTATTAGCATATTAAAACCACTCTAAAATATCATCTATTTTACATCTCATTTTTAGCCTAATAAATGCATAATTATTTTTCCTGTCACTTCTAAGAATAATTAGGCCAAGTTTGTCACTTACATCCTTATGGTTGACTTTAGATTTTTAAACACATCTTCGCAATTTTTAAATTTTTAATGTAAATACTGTCTTAGTTTTGAATTTTATTGAAATTTAGTATACATGCACAAACATATGTAAATTATAAATATATTATCTCAAAAATGCCTTTCCAACCACCACCCTCATCAAGATTCAGAATAAACTACCAGAAGTCCTCCCCATCCCCTGACCTTCCTCCTCCTCACAGAGGACCATTCTCTTGATTTCTAGAACCATGGGTTACTTTTGCCTGTTTCGAATGGTTGACATCATGTTGATGTGTTCTTTTGTGTCTTAACTGTTTTAATTTCACTTGAGAAGATTCTCCCAAAGTCTTTGAAGATAGCAGTAGTTGGTTTGATTTAATTGCTGTGTGATATGTCATTGCATGAAAACTTCCCCATTTATCTTCTCTCTACTGATGTATATTCGGAAGAGGAACTATCCCGTGCCTCCTAGTTTCTAATGGTTTGCTGGCAATACTTGGCCTTCTTTTGCTTCTTATAGATACACCCACCTCCATCATCACTTGGCATCTGTCTTCCCCCTGTGGTTGCCTGTCTTCTCCCTTTCTGTCAGACACTATTCGGAAGGGACTAAGACCCATCTTACTCTGGCGTGAAGGAGTTAATGGATAGCATCTGCAAAGAAAAGCTGTATTTTCCAGACAAGGCCATATTCACAAGTACAGGGCTTAGAACTTCAGCAACTCTATTGTAGGACACAATTCAGCCCATCACACATCCCAACCCCTGCCACCATCATTATCATCATGACAAGGCAGGCAGCAAAGACTGGGGTCTCTATTTTCAAGTAAAAGTCATGCTTAGAGAAAGGAGATCAGTGGTGATCCCAGGCATGTCTATTTGCTACTTCAGTCCTTCACTCTGTGTGAGCTGTGCAAACCCAAGGCAACCAATACTTTAGCAAATAATACCAACTGTAAGCATGAGATGTAGGTGATAAACACCCCGTGCTTGAGGTACGCAACACCACTCACCAGCGGGAATAAGCAGCTACTCCTTGAATAGTCATTGTTGCTGTTGCTATTGTTATGTGCTGCTGAGTTGGTTCCAGTGCATAGAAATCCTATGTACAACAGAATGCAACAATGCCCGTAGAGCAGTCAGAGTAGAATTATCATGAGAGATCAAAATCGTGCATGCATGTGGAGAAAAAAATAGGGTAACATTAAAAAGTATTCATTGACACTGGTAAAAAGTTGAAATTAGATTTCTTCAAAGTCCTGGGTTTTTTTCACTTACAACTATTAGCTACTTTCTTTGAAAAAAATCTTGGTAGAAAACTCTTGAGTAAAAAAAAAATTTTTTTTTTAAAGAAAAAAGAAAACTCTTGAGTATTGAGCTGAACAGTAAATGTTTGTTAAAGAAATAACTTCCTGGACAGATAAGAACTGGAAACACAGGGAATCCAGGACAGATAACCCTTCAGGACCAATAATGAGAGTGCCGATACCAAGAGGGTAAGGGGAAGGTGGGAGGAGAAGGGGAGAACCAATCACAAGGATCTACATATTAGTCCCTCCCTGGGGGACAGACAACAGAAATGTGGGTGAGGGGAGACATCAGACAGTGTAAGACATGACAAAATAATAATAATGTATAAGTTATCAAGGGTTCATGAGTGGGCAGGCGGGGAGGGGGGAGAAAAAAAACCAAGCTGATACCAAGGGCTCAAGTAGAAAGCAAATGTTTTGAGAATGATGATGGCAACAAATGTACAAATGTGCTTGACACAATGGATGTATATATGGATTGTGATAAGAGTTGTATAAGCCCCCAATAAAATGATTTTTAAAAGAAAAATAATAATAACTTCCTGTTTATTTAAGGTGCTGCATTTTGGGATGTTACCCCTCTGAAGATTACTTTCTTGAAAAAGAAGGTATTTTTCTCCTTTTGGATTTATTGGCAGTAAGTATGTTCATAGCAACAATAAGACAAAAGACATATTTTTATGAACCCTTTGCACACTGAATTCCACCGATAGTCTATAAATAACCATACCCTCCAATCATGCTCAAATGTATTGCTTTAAACTTTCTCTTGGAGTTTCATAATATCTGTTATTATACTCAGAAGCAAGCCTGGTGGGAATGAATCTAACAGACTTTGGTCATGTTGTCGAGAGAGCCCACTCCCTGGAGCGGACAGGATGTGTGGTAAAGTGGAGGGGCAGTGGAAAAGGAGATGGCCTTTGAGAAGATGGATTAGCACACTTGCTGCATCATTGGGCTCAAACTTACCAACAATTGTGAGGATGGTGAGCAGTGGGTGGTGTTTCTGTTGCACTCCGGGTCACTCTGAGTTGGAACTGACTCAGTGACACCTAGCAACAATATTCTTTATTTTGATTTTCACACTTTTAAATTATTTTATTTCTGGAACTGTCTTAAATATTTTGATATTTAAAATTATGTAAAAACCATAGCCCTAATTCTTAATAACACTTTATATTTTTCCTAATAAAAGTATCATACAAACAAAAAAAGTATTATATTAAAGGTTCTCAAAGTTCCTCTACTTAAAAAAATTACTTTATTTAGTTCAATGCTCTCAAACACATCCTAGCAGATTACCTCTCCCCTCCCCTGCTTTGTCCTCAGTCAACCTTTTAATAGTTTGAAAGGTGACAGACTGTATCAAAATTCATGCTCATTTATTAATAACTCCTACCTTTTCCCTCTACTATTAGAAGTTAAGAACTACATTAGCCTAAAGGACAAAGCCAAGTAAGTATTTTTGGAGAATGGTGTGTACTTCGGAGGTCAGAAGTCTAGTGTCATGCTCACTGTCATGGAGTTGATTCCAACACTGAGCCACCCTATGTGACAGGGTCCTGTGGGTTTCTCAGGCTGTCAATCTTTACAGGAGTTGAAAACCCCACCTTTCCCCTGAGAAATGGTGGGTGGTTTCGAACTGCTGATTTGCTGGCAGCAAGTGTCATGGACCACCACTTCCTAAGATGAGCAGAGGTGAAGTAAACGTAGTTTTGATCTAATTGCTGACATAAATGTCACAGACCCTCCTTAGTCTTCAAAATAATCCCCTGCTAGCCTCAGTTCTAAGCAGGGCTCACAGTCAAGGAGGGAAAGTTTCAGGAAAACTTTGGAGATTCTCTCATAGAGTTCTAGCCATGTCACTGTTTTTAATAACAGAAGAACAAATAACAAACCTAGTTCAATGTAGCAGATGTACAAAGGTTATCTGTGTCCTTCACTTCCTGAAAGAAAACATGTTGACAGTAAGGACAAGAGAGAAATGCCAGTACAAAGCATCGCCAATAAAAAGGGAATCACCACAATAGCAATTCATCTTGACAAATAGGCCTGAGTCATAACTGGAAACGCTGGGAAAGTTCAGAAAAGCGAACACAGTCTAAGGGAATATGTACGCTGTGGGACCTGGTGATGGAGCTGGCCGTGCACCTCTGACTCGGTATCACTTTGTCCAGAGGCCCAGGGTGTCCATCGAGGAATTCCCAAAGTTACAAAATTAACATGGCACACCTTCCTGGTACAGCTCTTTTCCTTGAAGACTTGGAAGTGGGGACATATATTAAACATTACTGTGATAATTTTGTAAATCTTATAGTAACATATTTACGAGGGGTAAAAGACCTCAAAAGTATTTCTCCCCTTTCCACTGCTCTTCTTTTCTATTCACATTTCTTCAATGAAAAGGTATGAAAAAAATGGATGGGAAAGGCCGAACAATAGAGTGGTTATGAGGATAGGCTGACGACTCGGATACTTGTCACTATGCAAGTTGTTTAACATCCGTGTCCCTCAATTTCTTCATCTGTGACACTGATCATCAACTGTCATGCTGTTCATCATCTGTGACTCTGTTCATCATCTGTGTTCATCATCTGTCACACTGTTCATCTGTGACTCTGTTCATGATCTGCGACACTGTTCATCATCTGTAATACTATTCATCATGTCACACTGTTCATCATCTGTCGCACTATTCATGATCTGTCACACTGTTCATCATCTGTGACTCTGTTCATCATCTGTCACACTGTTCATCATCTGTCACACTGGTGGGAGGATTAAGTGTGTGTGTGTGTGGTGGGGGGGGTTAGAATAATACCTGAGACATATAAGAGGGGCTTCTGAAAGTTTTTGGAAAAATTCCATGATCTTTTAATCCCATTTTCCATGAATTTTTGAAGCCCTCCCCCCTTATATTATTGCTATATAAGTGATTGCTTTTATTATACATATTATTAGATTGGTTTTCATATTAATTGAACCAATCTAGTTAATTACAAATACATTTAATGAAGTTTTTATTATCAACTTGACCTTTGACATTTGTCTTTTACTCCAAAAAGGAAAGGAAAGGAATATAAAGCTCAGTGAAGGTTTATAATTATTAAGATTCTGTAAAATATTGATTCAGTGTGCATACAAACATCTTTATTGTTCACCACTCTCCCTCCTCTAACTGGACCAGTTTATTACATGTGGGGTATGGCATCTGTTTATAAGTGATTCAGACTTATATTGAATCATTTTATCCTTTTGTAGTTCTAATTTTTAATGTACTAATTACAATGAGTAGCTCTTTTACAAAGTGTTGTTCCAACACCAGGAACACAGTGTGGGAATTGCGCCTGATCTGACCCCGCCATGCCGAGGCAA